CCAGACGATATAGTCCTTATGACAGAATCACTGGAGGACCTAAGCACTGTGCTCAATGATCTCAATAGTGTTTCTCAACGGATAGGTCTTAAGATGAAAATGCCACCTTTGTCGTAAGTCATATGTAATGTCCATGTCACACCTATGTCGGTAGTTGTTGAGAGCTCTAAGTTTGCGCTATGGAGAGTGAATAATGAAAATGAATATTGAGAATGCTCGGGGTTTCACTACGCGATAAACTTGGGAATGAAGATATCAGCAGTCGAACCAGAGTGACCGACATAGCCCAACGGATTAGTAAGCTGAAGTGGCAATGAGTCGGCCATATAGCTCGAAGAAACGACAACCGATGGTGAAGAAAGGTTCTCGAGTGGCAGCCTCGTACCGGCGTCCCCCCACTAAATGGAGTTACGACCTGGTAAAACACGCAGGAAACCTTGCGAAGGGCTGGAATGATGATGAAGATGACAAACGAACGGGGTTAGCCAAGTTCAAATTTTACAAGCGTTAACTCCAGAAAACGATTAAATTTAATGTAAGTACCCGGATGATCGAGCTTTGCTCGTTTTTTTTTGAAATTACATTTAGATACTAATTACATACTGATGAATAAAAAATTGATGAATTTTTTTGATCTTATTGACATAATAGAAAAACTGAACTGGTTATTTGAATAAAAAGTCATGAGTGCAATTAGTTTAATTAGAATTTTCGTATTTTTAAAAAATACTAAAAAAAGGGCTCGAAATAATAGTTTTTCTCACAAAAGAAGGAAACTTGAAAAAAAAGGGAAAAAACGACAAGAAAAGACAGGACGCCAACCGAGGCATTACGATTTCACGACCGCTTGATACCACTTGAGCTATTACGAACATTAACACATTGTCAAAATTTATGTTCTTATGTTGTAGCAGTTTATCATTGTTGAAAATAGGACCATTTTATATATATAAATACTAGTAGATGATTTATGCCGAAACTTTGATATATTGTATGAATCTGGGGGATTGATTATATATACAACATGTAACAAAAACCCTGTGGTTCCCGTTAACTGTGTTATCAGAGTCAGTATCCAAACGTATAGAAATATATTTCTTTCAAAAAAAAACAACATTTGAAAAAATTAATTTTAACGAAAAAAAAATAATTTGCAAATTGTATGTGGTTTTATTACCTCTGCATTCGCCGAGTACGGTAATCGAGGACTTTGTCAAAGCCCCGCATTACTGTCTCGGTGAGTAAGATGAATAAAACCACATACAATTTGCAAAATATTATTTTTTTCATTAAAATAAAAATTAAATGTTTTTTTTTTTAAAAAAAATTATTTCTACATACGTTTGGACGCTTTACTGATTCTGATAACGCAGTTAACGGGAAACACACATTATATATATATACAAGTGCTCGTTTAAAGGTATAGGATTAACATTAATTTGCGTGATTTAAGATTGAAAAATGTCATTTCCATTCATTTTTTTTAACTTTGCGCAGATGGGCTCAACTCATATTATATTCTCCTTCACTTTGCTACTCAATAATTCTTTAATGATACAAGTGTAATATTTAAAGCTTTACTTTTTGTTTACTTTGTCCACTGTAAACAAAATCTTAGAACTAAGCTACGCTACTTAACTTTTTCTGTCTCAAATCTATTTTCGGAACAGTAGACGTGACGCTTTTTCTTGCATTCCCAGTCACAGTAGCACGTCGCCGCCCGAAATCTAGGTAACTACTCTCATCTTTACTGAACACCGACAAAAAGAAGTTGTAATGAGATGTTCTGTCACCGCAACGCCGAGAATTAAACCAGTACATTGCGATGTCGCAATGGTTGCTCAAGCGTCTGCAACGGTAATGTTTACATGAACACGCCGCGACTGTCTAAATAATAACGCGCGGTGAATTTAAATAATTTGTATGTTGCTGCATTAAAGCTCACCCGGGTATCTAGGTGTAATGATCGGCAGACTACTAAGAAGTGTATAATCCCGTTAGTCTAGGTATCACGATCGGGCTAGTTTATTGGAAAGTCAGTTGCGCGGAGCGTAGCCACTGCGGGCAGTGCTAGTGCGTCTGCTCGCTTCCTGCTATCGGAAGAAAGGTCCAAGCCGATATCTATTACCGCACGTAATTAGATCTGTTTACTCTTTAATTACAACGTTTAGGCTGATCGTGTCCATTAACTTTAGAGAGGGAAAATTGCTTGTGTTTAAACGGCATACAAAGCTGTAGTCCGATTGAAAAACAACCGTTACTTCTATTTGTAATGATTGGAATTGTATGTTTCGCTTTTGTTTATTTCGTCAAAACCGACTATAATAATACACTGCTGAAAATGCAGGCAGATATTTAAGACTAAAATATTCCATATAAAATGTTTTTTTTATTGTAATGTTGATCTAATCATTAAACACATATTCGCGCGGTTTCACGAAGAATAGTCACATAAACCCGCGGTGGATTAACTGACGCGCGTATACGCAGGATAAATACATATTAAATCTCAATCCGCGAAAGAGTTTCGCAAAGAATCACCCGAAAATTCGAACTTAACTATTTAGTCAACTTATTAAAAGATTAGCTACTCAAATTATCAGATTGCACTTATTTAAACTATTGGTCTACTGTCAACAAAGCCTTTATTTTGCAGATTATTTATTTGCTTTGGTAAGAAAAAGACGAATCGATTTAATCCGGAAAATTCCATTAGAGGAATCAAATTTCTGTTTTATCATTTACAATGAGATACATGGACAGTCAAAGTTCATCCAGACTTGAAAATTAGGTTTTGTGCGCAAAATATTGTTACTGAATATAAACCGAGAACCACATCTCTGCAGTCGGGAACTTAACGACGAGTGGCTTCAAGTATTAAATTTCAACAATTTAATACTCCCTCAAAAGTCTTAATTTTGGGATATGAGTGATATAAACGTTACAAAAACAGATTATTTTTTGTACTTGCGTGTTCGATACACGTAAAAGTAGTTCACAAATACCATTGCGTGTAACCCTGGCGCAAGCTGTGAATGGTCAAGTGACACAGTTCCGCAGCACACTTTTGTATCATTTGATTTTTTTTAGTTCATGTACCTACGCAACCATCTGCGGTTGCAATATCAGTAGTTTTAGTAACTGCATTTATTCCTATTCCTTTAATATACTTAATCCGAATCTGAATTGTTACTTTGATTATGTTTCAGAATGTTAGTTGTCGTGTAATGTAAATTATTATTTGAGTACCTACATACTTTTCTTTGCTTGTTTACAATATATGAATGTAATAAAGATATATAAACAAACATAAAAATTCCTATTATACATATCACATGTTAGTTATTTTGTCATTTGATAGATATCGATTTTCTTATCTTATTATATGTGCGTTCACGTAATAATTGCGTATAATGGTAGACTACTATCGTAAGTCTGTAAGTGGACAGGCAGTTTCATCATAATGTAATGTGTATGTTCTAGTATTCGAGCGCTTTTAGCAACATGACATGGCGCATAATAAGCGTAAAATGTCACTGAGTTTTTAAAACATAGGATTTATGTTCATTACGACGATTGAGCAAAAACATGATTTGAAATATGGATTGTTGATATACTTATGAATACATCGCATACTATGTAATGTGAATTATAAAATCGAAATACAAATGCCTCTTATATCTGAGTTTTAGAGCTTTGATCGTGTGCGGAGCAATCCTTAAACTAGATTGTTGAGTTTGAATGACAACTTTACGATAAATGGGGGAAATATCTCCCTGCTAGGGGAAGTTTTCTATTTTCTGTGTTCGTGTTTTATGGCGGGCCTGGGCGGCTTGGGGCAGGTGCGGGCTGCGCCGGAGATGCACGGTACTTTCACTGTCGGCGGGCCGGCGTAGCGGCGCCCTGCGCAGTGCCGCCGCACCTTCGTCGTCGCCGGCCGCACCGCTCCGCTCTCGCGAACCAACGACCGATCGACACCCTGTGTCAATCGCATACTCCACCGCGCTTGAGCTAACCCGCCCGTTACTCAGCTGAATATCGAGATCGAGCCGTGAAAAATCACATCTATTTATAGATTGCGTATTTTTACAATGCAGTGTCGTTTTCGCGGTCCCGCTAACAGACTATCTGAAGTGCACTCTTTAATCGTGATTGCATTTATTATGCTCCTCCTTAAATTTCATCAGCTGCAGAAATGCCATCAGGACATTGAACGGGAGGCATATAGTGATGTTCTGTAACAGTGTGTTGTGCCGAATGTATGTGTCCAAATTTAAGGCTGTTTGTTTTATAGAGAAAGTTGTAAATTCTGGTGTTTAAGTGTTCAAGTTTCTTTCCGCGCCGGACAAATGTTGATCGAAAGTTGATTGCATAACTTTCGGTTAATTATTTTTATTTGTGACCGATTAAATACCTGTGAAATAATATTGTTAAATAGTTCGAATATCAGATTTTGCGAATATTTAATTCTTTTCAAACTGTTGCTGCTTTTTGAAAAAATACATCATCCACTGGAATACGATTAGTCAGTATATTAATTTGGACGGAGGGCATTTGTTTCAGTAGAATTTACAGTGTCAAGGTTGTCGGATCATATCGTTAGCCAGACAGGAGATGCGCAGTGCGATCACGACGTTGCGTTACGACGTCCACTGTAAATAAATAATGATCTAATTGTAGGTGGCTAGCGAGTCCGCTATTTTGATGTATGATTGATACGCGTAACATATGCAAAACGTTACCCGAGAAAGATTCGAAATAAGTAAAAGATAAAGTATCAAATTGTATAAATTCTATTGATTTGCTGAAGTGAAACTAGTTGTGAGTGCATTGCCTACTTTCCAAGATTTCTAGAGGGCACACGCACTCCCTTTTCTCGGCTGCGGACTAGACTGGCTTAAATATTGACGTCAATATTTTTTCTTGCCTTTGAACTATACCTACGTAAACAGATAAAACTATGTTTGACATACAAGAAGTGTTATGGGTTTGATGTTATAATGAGCTGTGTACAGTGTTCAAAGATGCCTCATTACGATGAAAGTTTTTTCTATGATGATAATCAGAATCAAAGAAGGAATAAACGAAGTTACCGTGTCTATAAAAATGGTTTGAGCCCACTACATATTCTGGAATCTGGCGATGTTTTGCAAGCACTCGAAGAGAGAGGAACTTCAGTTATTAAACGAAATATTCGAAATATTAAACATCGGGGCGTCAGACACAAACCAGATTCATGTACGTACTACGAACAATATACTAAGTACAAAACGCAAGATGTACTTGGCATCCGCACTCCGAGGATTAGTGTATTCGACCCTAATAAATTTTACGATATAAGAAACAACAACATCCTACCACTGAGTTCTTGTAAAAGTTTTGATAATTTAACGTTGAAAAGGTCTCGGAATAGTGATATACACAAGGAGAAGATTAGGAATGGTACGAGTCTACAGAATCTTATGTGCGAAGAAAGTATCAAAAGGTTTTCCTCACCTTCCGAAGAGTGTTTAGCGACTACACGTAGGGAAGATGTGAGAAATTCGTATTCCGTGGTCGAAGCTCGGCGAAGACCTATGCGACGGGTTTCGCGGAACACTGCAGTACCTGGTGTCGGTGTCTACAGGCAAATCGGTGATCGCGGGCCAGACAAGAAACATATTAAGGGTATCTTTTATACTTCGTATTAAAGTTATACACTTAGGTACGACCACGGGTTAGCAGATCAAAGCCGAAGTCAGTCCATAATATGTGCCAAACACATTTGGGTGACAAACGAGTATGCAGCCAATCTGATAGTAAGCGAATGCTGTGGTCCAAAGAACAAAAAACTCTTTAGATCTACGATCCTCGATTAAGAATCAAAATGTAAATCCGTTGTCACCTAAGTACGATAGACTGTTTCGTTATCAGTAATAATGGTTTCCCCGGTTCTTGAAAGTTTGTCCCATCTTTAATTTATATGATAGGGTGAAAAACGATCACACAGTCCACCTGATGGTAAGTGGTTGCTGGGGCCTATAGACATCTACATCTATCCTTGATTACGAATCAAAATGCAGATGCGTTGTCACCCGTGAGGACTAAGATGGAATGCCTCGTTTCCAGTAAAAAGGGTCTCCGGTTCTCTACACTTACCATACGAAACACAGCAGCATTAAGCTACTTTTTACGCTGGTATTCTGTGAGAATAATAAAATGTATGTAGCAAATTTTAATTTTTTTACTTCCGTTTAGGGTGTCCCTTGTCGACTCGTCACATTATTATTGCTGTAATATGAAAATTGAACTCTGTTACCACAGAAATCGTATTAATAAGACAATAGAAGTCGCATAGACGCGTGACCTTGTCGCCGCTATCATGTGTTAACGAACATCATTCACCATTTTGTGATTTAGTTGCGCGGGAAACGTCGTACTTGAATTCATGTTATTATAAATTTGTAATGGTGAACTGCAGCATAATCAGTTGTAAAAACTCATAAAGACATAACATTTTATCGGTGAGTTGATTATTTACTAATTATCATTGTTTCAACTAATTTACATCTGGATGAATACTATAATATTTTTACCTTTATAAGCTTTCATTTATTCCTTTCGTATTTAAAATTACCATTGCTGTTTTGTTCTACCGTAATACGCGACGCACGCGACTTTGACAAACTCGCCAAGCAACGTAATGTGAAACATTAGATATCATTGTGCATTGCGTATGTTTATAATACGGGAGGGAAGATGTGGCGACATCGGTTTTGGAAGTAATCGAGCGCTAATTCATTTCTATTGTCTTATTATTACTATTTCTGTGTCTGTTGCCAAATAGAATAGTTAATAATTAATGTCATTTCTTCGCAAATTGTAAATTTGTTTATATAGGCATTTTTTTTAAAACTGAAGTGACAAACTTATAAGACTTATAGTCATCGTGATGTTAAGTGGCTGCTGCAGTACATGGGTACGTAAGTAGTAAGTACATGTGTACAATGGTTCATGGACACCTGTAGCCACTTTAAACAAAGAAGTCTCCAGAAGTGTAGTCACCTCTGAGGGCTAAAATGTACCTTTCAATCTATAAATATACTGGCTCTCGCTCTTTAGACCGGGAAACAGCAGTGCAGGCAGCAGATACTGGTATTTAGCAGAAAAGAAGTTCTTCCACCTAGGTACTATACCGGAAGACATACGTTTGCGATACGTGTAATATGCCTAAAATGATATCATTAACCCGGATCTTTAAAAAATATTAACAAAGCTTTGTGTACAAAATACCGATTTTGTAGCAAGTTCAATTCCGCAAAATTAAAAGCCGATCTTGCTTCCGATTTGGAAAAAGTGGCACAAGTGATTTGCATATTGTTTTCGTATTTTCTTGTCTATGTGATTGCACTTGTATTTTCTGTACTACATTGAGCTCGCTGATATTGTATAATAAGGCGTAACTGATGCGGGAACGCACCATTGTATCTATTGTTACGATAATGTTAAGGCCGTCGACAAAAACCGGCGTGTGCTAACGACCGTAGACGATGTACACTATACGCGTAATTAGGGTTGCCAGGTCTTAAAACCGAAAAGCCGGACGGACCAGCGAGCTTAGCCGGACATTTTGGTAAAAAGGCCGGACGCCCTTGTTTTTTGTCTTAGTAAAAGACATTTTTTTAAGTAAAACAATGCTTTTATCATTTACTGTAAAATCTTAAGTTCTAACAAAATAACAACAATTGAATAAATCAGTCTTCTTTATAATTAATTATTTAATATTCATTACAATATTAATTTCAATAATTGCAATAGTATGTATGTAAGTATATGAAAAATGTAAAGAAATGGTCAAATTTAAAAAGCCTAACAAAAGTTGGACACCGTCTAATTTGGCCGGACACGCAACCAAAAAGCCTGACTGTGTCCGGCTTTATCCGGACGTATGGCAACGCTACTCGTAATTGACTTCATATTGTCCATTTATGCGCCTTTAATTATTTGCTTGTTGTATTTGATTGTTTCTGTTATTAGGCTCTTATCTCAATACGTCGCAGTTCCTTGTATTATTAAAATTATTCTTGACTATTTTATAGAGATATTTTGTATCAAAATAAGCACACGACCTGCAAGCTGGGGCCCTCCACAACGATATCCTTTATTTTATTATGTCAAGATTTAGTGAGAAATTGGTGACAATTAGTGATTTAATACTTGGAGATAATATAGCCCTTTTTGGGAGGTTTCTAGCCTAAATTGAAGCTTAGCAGCCTCCCCTGAAAACACCATTATTGTTTTTTAAGATTTAGTGAACAATTAGTGACTTCATTTACCGAGATTGAAACACATTACTCCAACGGAACCGGTGTGTTATTCATATGTCTTAGGGATGATTCTGGATTAAAGATTATAATATTATATCATATAATAACTCCAGAACGCCTATGTCTTCCTATGTGAAATATATGTCAATATTTAGTGACTATTAATTAAAAAAAAAAACAATTTGATTAATCAGGTAGGTAGAACTTAGTGGAAAAAGGACTATATTGTCAAGTATTAACTAATTTTTTTTCTTAAGTCACTTATTGTCACAGATTCCTTACTAAATCTTGACATAATAAAAATTATGATATCGTTGGGGAGGATTCCAGCTTTAAAGGACGCAATTTAGTGACATCTTTCTCAGAAGAAAAATTTTGAAAAAGGAAAAGTTATGACTATACTCCAGACATAATTTAAGTTTAAATATAACTAATTTCGGAACTTTTTAATTACTTTAATATCGTTATACTCGATATTAAACCAATGAATGACGTATTTGTTATGAACTTATGTTCATCAATATTCCAAACTGAACATGTCACTTATCCAAAACCCTAAGATTTTTCTAAAATACTTAAGGTTTTGTTTTGCTCGTACTACCACGTATCAGAATCGCACCTTGGACTCTTAGTCTCTTTGCCGGTTTTGGGCAATTTACTAGCATGGCGGATGGATATCACATTTCCTGAAGGCTTTAAGTTCTTAGCATTCCTATGAATCTAAGTTTGCGACAATTGGTTTTTTTTTATAGAATAAGGGTGTCAAACGAGCACACAGTCCACCTGATGGTAAGTGAATGCTGTGGCCCAATAAACATCCACATTTATGCTCGATTAAGATTCAAAATGCAGTGCGTTGTCATCCCTGAGGACTAAGAGAGCCTCTTTTTCAATAAAAGGATTTCCGGCTTTATACACTCACCATACGAAACACAGCAGCATTAAGCTGCTATTTTACACTGGTATTCTGTGAGAGCGTAGTCCAACCTCGGTCCTACCCATTCGTACTGCAACCGTTATATAGCTGCAGCGTAGCTCTACCACGTTAAATGAAATGTTGTAATGAATTTTCTTACCATCACTATTGTACGACACTGGTTTAATTGGACATTTATCACAATTTTATTTGTATGATTGAATAATCTGTAATGTTGTGTTTAATTTTTTATTCTATTTATGTCTGAAAATAATATATTTTACTTATCTATTTTTAACTGATCCACATTATGTGTATACGGTAATTCCTTACATAACTCATTTGTTAATTGCTAATAACAACTGATTTAACACTTATCGTGTAACACTGGTCTGCCATTTTAGTTCCGTTCTCTTTCGTAACAAATTCATATTCAAATATTATGTAAAGCCCCGAGCTTGCCAATTAATTGAATTAGCAGTGTTCTATTTTCGTGATAAATCTTGATGTATTAACCATCAATTAACAATCAACGGTAGGTATTATATAATTTTATTGGATACTAACGACTTGCCCGGCTGTGTTTGAGGGGATCTACTAAGGCGGTGTCATTAAGATATTTTAAACTTATTTTATAAAAAAAATATACAGTAGAGTCCGTTTATAATGACTTCGAAAGGAATTGACAAACACGTCATAATAAGCGTACGTCATATAAAGCGTTATGTGAAATGAAAAACTTTTTTTTATGTAAATATGTATGTATTTAAGTATTTTAATACAGAAACATACATAGTACATATGTAATTACATATGTACATTGTATATATACATATTAAACCAAAATCAAAATTGCACGTAATCAGCATATTATTATAATAACACATTGTATGTACAAGTGTATTTTTTACTGTAAGTAATCTGTAATTTTTGTCTGCTTTTGTTTTTTCATTTTATTGTAAAAACAGTCTCTAATACTATTGTGTATAGAAGACATAGCTATGGTCAAATTATCATTTTCAATATTGCTGTGAACAAATCGTGATAATAATTCTGCAGCTTTTAATGCCTCTTCTGCGGTAGGTAATGGTGCTTCCTCGACTTCCTCTTCCCCATCACTTTCGAGTTGTTCCTTAGCACTAATGTTCTGTACGATATTTTCATCGGTGGGTTCTTCGGATGTGAGGAGACCGCTATCGATGTCAACATAATCTTCCCACATTTCCGATGCTGCTAAAGAATCTGAGTTTAGGTTTCGTGACCACAAAGATAAAGGAATGTCATCTTCTTCATCGAATTCATGTTCTGATATTTGAATAGGTAAACCGTTGTTGCTTTCAATGAATCCTGCGTGTTTGAAACAGTTATGAATGGTACTTTGAGACATTTTATTCCAGGCATCATTAACTATCAGAATTGCATCTAGCGCCGTTACTTTTGTAGAAGAGTGGTTTTCATTAGCATCAATACAATTAATCATTTTGAGCACAAGGTTCTTCCCAGAATTCATTTTGAGTGATCGTATTATTCCCTGATCCATTGGCTGTAGTACTGATGTTGTATTCGGCGGAAGGAAAGCAAGTGTTATAGACTTTAAATCAGTAATATTTGGATGCGCCGGGCAATTATCAACCAGCAATAGAATCTTTTTCTTCTTCTTCACCAAATCACGATCCCAATCACGAAGCCATTTTTCAAAAAGTTCTGACGTCATCCAAGCTTTACGATTGTTAGCATAATCGACAGGTAATGATTTGACACCTTTAAAACATCTTGGTTTTTGTGACTTTCCAATAATGAGCAATTTCTTCTTCTCTGTGCCACTCATATTCGCTGTTACCATGACAGTTATTCTATCTTTCGATAACTTACCTCCACTACAATTTTCACTTTTAAATTTTAAAGTTTTATCCGGCATTAATTTGTAAAAAAGTCCAGTCTCATCAGCATTGAATATCTCATCATCAGAAAATTGTCTTCGTAAATTCGGCCACACAGATATCAACCAGTTTGTTGTTGAATTTTGATCTACAGACGAAGATTCACCGACAATTTTTCCAGCCACAATGTTATGTCGAACTTTAAAACGACTGATCCAGCTTGCAGAACAATTGAAGTCGAGAATACCAAAACGCGCGGCAAAACCATTTGCCTTTTCCTGTAGCATAGGACCGCTGATAGGTATTCCTTTGTTTCTCATGTTTTTAAACCACTGAATTAATGCTTGATCAACATTTTCTTGTCGTGATTTTCGAAGCCTCTTCGGTTTCAAAACATTTGAATTGAACGATTCCTTAATGCGGTTCTTGTTTTTAAAAATCATTGAGATTGTCGAATGACCCACGCCAAATTCCTTTGCGAGACATGAGTTAGATTCTCCATTTTCTAATCTGCATATTATTGCACCTTTCTCCTCAATTGTAAATGCTTTACGTCGTTGAGATGACATTTTTTTCACAGTAGCAAACGAAAAACAATGCGTGACCTTCAACCGTCAATTATTCACTGAGAATCAAAACAAAAAAAAGCCACGTGCCGAACGTCGTCGGGAATCAACGAACAATACCGAAGGTGTAAAGAATCATGTCGGTCATTATAACCGGACATAATTTATTAAAAATGGGTCATAATAAGCGACATGTCACTGTAAGGGAAGTCATTATATCCGACTTTGTTATAAAGAATTTTATATGAAAACCAAACTTCGTAGTGCAAATACGTCATAATAACCGGCTGGTCAATATAGGCGGAGTCATAATAAACGGATTCTACTGTATCTTTAAGATTTTCGGATATATTTTATCTCTAAAAATAATCTCTCCTGGCATTGCTTTTTATATATTCGTGATTTTTCATCACAGCATTCATCAGGAGCCGTGGTAGCTCAGATGGTTAACGATCGCTGTAAATATAACAGAACGCGAGTAACCCGGGTTCGATCCCCGCCGGCACCAATCAAATTGTTAATAGCAATTTTAAGTGCTGATTTACCACGTGCTAGGTGGTGTAGGAAAACATCGTGAGGAAACCTGCATGTCTGAGGAATAAGAAAAAAAATTTTTCGAAGACATGTGAAGTTCGCCAACACGCATTGGGGCAGCGTGGCAGACACTTCCTTGCCCTAAAACCCTCTCAGAAATGAGGGGAGGCCTGTGGCCAGATATAGGCTGTAACTTTACTTTTTTACTTTTTCATCACATTTGGTTCAGCCATTCCGAAGATCAGCCCTGACAGTCAGACAGCCAGACAAAAATGTTATAAATTCCTGACTTGATGGCATGCAAATAATCCCTGAGCCCGATGGAGGGCAGTTATTTTGATACTACCGACAGATACTTCAATTTTATTTATATGTATGGATGTAAAGTTCGTAAACAAAATCTTGTGAACTCTTAAAAATTGTTCAAGTGCAAGCAAGCGCTATAATTGTACATTCCATTCCGGTTCCCGATCATTCAGATTTTTTAATCCTAACAATTTTAGCTACACTTAGTTCTTAATATTCGTTTATATTCATATTTGTAGGATGGTAAAAAGTTGCTGTGTAAACATGTTTATCTTCGATTACGTTTCAAAATGCAGATGCATTGCCCCTGAGGACTTAGGTGGAATGTCCCCTTGCTAGTTATAAAGGTCTCTGATTCTTATTTCTTAATATACAAAATACAGCTGCTATTTTACGACACCCTTGTCTGTCTTTGTTTTTTTTATGGCACATTTTGTTTTATGTTACAAACGAGTACAAAGTCCACCTGATGGTTAGTGGTTGCTGTGACCCATAGACATTTGCATCTATCGTCGATTACGAATCAAAATGCATATGCGTTATCACCCGTGTGGACTAAGATGGAATGCCTCGTTTCCAGCTAAAAGGGTGTCCGGTTCTCTACACTCACCATACGAAACGTAGCTGTGTTAGGCTGCTATTTTACTCTCTTGTCTCTCGTCTGGTTAGTATTCAGTTATATTATACGGTAGGAGACAAACATTTTGGAGTATGTTTACTGGCCCTCTTAAGCTGGTTTTCCACTATGGGATATAATATATATTATATCAGGAAATATAAATTATATCCCACGATTGCCCTTCACACTGTGAGATATATCTTTTAACCAGTGTGCGTTCGACATTGGACGATCACAGGAGGTGAAATATAATATGAAAACATCGCTCGGTCGATCGAAAAAATATTTATAGTTTGGGATGTAATATATATTATATCTCAGTGGAAACGGTTCCATTTAAAAGTACGGTGAACGATATTAATTTACATCTCGAGATGTAATATAAATTATATTATATCCCATAGTGGAAAGTCGGCTTTACGCTTAAAACCTCTTCAAACTGAACAACAGTAGTGTGTGTATTGATTAGCGGCGAAAGAAATAGCTAACAGGCTGTTACCAACTCACATCAGATGCTTAATCAATTGTTATATTATTTACGTGAGCAGTAAGCTGATATTTTGTGTCCCACCTGTAATTTTGTGAATTAATAAAATTAATTTAGGTTTAGCGTTTTTGAATTAATGATTTATAAGCATAATACTGCTGCGTTCTGTATGATAGATGACAACTACAAGCCCTCAGTAATTTATCTTCTTGTTATATAATAGTTTTTAATTTGATAGCTTCAAGTCAGCTACTACCTGGTGTGTGGCGCTTTTCACAAAGTAAGAATTTAAATAGAGACGTTGACTGGGGCCACTATTTCTGAATCACTTATATACCGAAAAACGAATTTAAATGGTCATCGTATTTTCTCAAAATAACGTAAATACTGATACGTTTTATAAGCTGTTATTGTTTCCCTAATTAGATCTCTACTCTCGTTTGATCACTCAAATGTTCTTTCCGAAAATCCGGACGATTGGATCACTATGTTTGTGCCGCTGCATCCGGCGGTTTATTCTAAGACTTGGCGTCGAAAGTGTCACGACATAATATTATGAAGACAAATTTGTAGTAAAATTTGGCCACTTGTGTTCTAATACAATGCAACCATTTTGGCCTTAATTGGCTCGGTACTCGCTTGCTAGCTGTTCGGTTGACGATATCATCATTCATCATGTCAATATGCGTGGTAGTGATTCTTAAATGTCTCCGTCGATTTTGACGATGGGCAGTAATGTTTTAATGCTCATTCAAAACTGAAATATATAAAGGTTTTTTCTCATGTATATTATATTATCTCATACTTGACATTTTATGTAATGATCAGAAAACTTTGATTTTACCCTTGAATTCATAACCATTGTTTTTAAACGTTAACTATTCTTAGACTATTATTAAACCTTAGACAAAATTAAATACTCGTATTAAAACTGCGGAGTCAGCAAGAGTATGGAAAAGTTGTTATTTATGAATACGCTATATATTTATAGTATTGTAACAGGTTATAAGGTAGGACTTATAGGTTAATATCTAATTATTAAAGTAATCAAAATCGTACTTTTCCACAAGCTTACAGCTAAGTCGATCGGATTTTATAGATATTGAAAGAGACTATTTGTTGTCAGTGGCGAAGGCGACAGCCGGGATCGCTCAGGCTGCATGCTAAGTAGGAGTCAGTGGCGTCTTTCTGTTTATGATATGTGACGGTGACGCACTTGCTCCCGTCCGTCCGTCCCGCCGTCCGTCCGTCGCCGTGCCCCGACTGTCCTCAGCTCCTCAGTCGTCACGCGTCGCGGCTTGGGTGCGTCCTGTCACCGCGCTTATTTATAAACGCGCTCGGTCGCCACTTTGATAAACTAGGTATACTCCATCTTAGCACTATCCTCATACAAAATTTAATTAAAAAAAAAAACTGTAGTCGCAAAACATTCCGTGTGTTCTTTTGAACTGAGTTTCTTTTGTGGAGGAACACATTTGACATCAGAGCTCAGGTACGATGTGACCACTGAGAGCAAATAAGGAAATCGATGTTACTGCGTATTACTAAGTTACTAAATATACCTGATTCGATATCCCATTGCGGTACTAGTTGTTTGTGACACTATGTTGCTTCCAGTTCCAGGGTCAAAGTCCTGCCTGATAAGTCCCGGTATAAATATTTTGTTTCTGTCCTATTGTTTAATACCTATTTGGCTTAATTATTAATCATATGAGATCATATGATTAATAATTAAGCTTCCTATTTAAATAATTTATAAGATTAATAATTAATTAAGCTTCCTAATATTTTAAGGGTCATTTTTATTTGTTGGTTAAATTGTGAGATCTTATGATTTGTGCAACGATTGGTACTAAAATGTCAATAAATATTTGTTTTGTTTCTTGTTTGCGGTACAATTGGGATTATACTTATAATCTTTTAAAACATTATTTGAATACTAAAATGCTGTATTTCAAAATCTTACACCCTAATTGTGCTGCGTAACTGTTTAAGTATATATTATCATGAAATGATGGTCACTTTTTATTTGGCAAGTTTGAATGAAGGAGCAGAAGGCATGATAATTAACTACGAATTGGCATCATAATCCAAGGTCGTTCACAACTTTAATCTTACACCAAATGAACACGACAACCTTGGTGGATTTTCCTTATAAAATTAAAGTAAATATTTATGTCTTTATGTATTATTAAATCTAAACAAGGTTTGCTTTGATTAACAAGTTATTTATTATTTTTTAAATATGATTTGCAGTCTGTTGTGTCTCACTGCAGGGTACAGGCTTCCCTAATCTTGTTCTTGTTGTTGTTGGTTAATTAATTAAATAAATCTAATAGAGTTATGAGGAAGGCGCCCATGCTTTGATCTTATTCTTTATAGATCACAACTTGAACAAACATGAATTAAATAATATAGTTTCTGAATTCACTTAACTAAGTGTGCTAAAATATCTAGTATCCCGCCAGTAACTAAGGATGTAGGTAGATACAATGACATCGCGATGATAAAGAAATGCGAAAGGGCTACAGAGATCAGTCGTCGGGCTGACTAGTCCACATCTTAATATGTATAAATTACGTGTCATGTTGTTTGTCCGCGATGGACTCCTAAATTACTTAACCGATTTTAATCAAATTTGCACACCGTGTAAAGTTTGGTCCAACGTGAGAGATAGGATAGTTTTTTTGCCCATGAGTGACCCAATTTTTTTTTGCGAATTTAAGGATTTTTAATAGGAAATGACAAATTGTCGTCGAAAAGGGCAGAACAACGTCTGCCTGGCAAGCTACATAGTTGTTTATAAAATGAAATTAAACTTACTTTCTTATGCCATCTTACGTACTATCTTGAATATTTATTTTAAAAAATTGCCGAATTATCACGACCGTGCTCAAACATAGTTTATAAAATTTACCTAGTTTATTTAGCACTCAAGTTCGCGGTGTAAATATATATATATATATATATATATATATATATATATATATATATATATATATATATATATATATATATATATATATATATATATATATATATATATATATATATATATATATGTATCAATTCACTTAGAAAAAATCTATATCTTGACACCAAAAAATCAGGAATAAATTTTTTTATAGGTCAGGTGTTCGAGCAGTTCAAATCCCGTTTCTTGAATTACAGCCATCGCAACTGCGGCTTTGTGAGTCGGAGCATTGTCTTGGTGAAACAGCACTCCAGCTCGCAGTTTGTCGCGTCTTTTTTCTTAATAGCCTCTCGCAATCTTCTTAGTTGGCCTGCGTAGTAAGAGCCCGAAGTAGTGGCGCCCTTTTCCAAATATTTCAACATAATTATTAGGTCAAACCAAAGTCCACCTGATGCCATAATCTTTCCCGCCGACACTTGATCTATCGCGTCGGTTACCAAAAGGCAGATGCTCGTTGTCAAACCATTGTAGATCGTTGTTTGGTTTCAGGATCAAAATAGTGGATCCAAGTCTCGTCCTTGGTCACGAAACGTGACAAAAAATTCATGATACGCAGAAACCTTTTTCATATGTAATTCGTTCGCAAGGATTTTTTGAACACTGCCTAATGAAATCCTTGTGACATCAGCTATATGCCTGATGGTCAATTTGACCTCCCAATGGGACATCTTCGACTTTTTTCACGTAATTTTTGGTCAATTTGACCTGCCAATGGGACATCTTCGAATTTTTTCACGTAATTTTCAGTGAGGGACGCGTCCTTCGCGATGTTCATCTTCCGTAGATATTCTGCCCAGCTTAAATTAAGAAGGAGGAGCAGTGACCCCCATGTTTCCATCAAGTCGCTGTGTATGTCTGGTAGACAATTTTTTTAAACAGAGATACTCCTTGACTGCTCTAATTTCGGTTTTCTCCATTTTGATGTTACCTCTTCGATGATTCGTATTCAAATGAATGTACCTTTCGGGAATCGTAGCCTATTTATATGATTTTTTATGCTGATCTATTCTAGTAGCTAACTTTTTTTGTTTTTTTTTTATGCGCACTTTAAATAACAGATTATCATTACTTTTGGATCACCCTTAGGCTACGGGCTCTAGCACGGGACGCCAATTCGGCGATGTTTTTATTTAACGTTTCTTGGAATAGCCGAAACACTGTACATCATAATTTTTGCTTCTTTGCTTTGCTCATTATTTTGCCCAAATTCCAAGAAAATATAGAAGAAACAATAGAAAATATTAATAGAATTCTATTAATACTTTCTTACTTTTTTTAGAATCTACTGAATGTCTACTTTTCCGAGGTATTCTTTCCTAATGGGCTTAGCTACATAATCAAAAGAAGTGGTAAAATTAAAAAATCTGTACAACCGACTTCAATATAAATAACATGATAACATCATCAATGTATTCCAAGTCAATTAAATACGCATTATTAAGGATAACTCAAAAACTACTGGTCAGATCTTGATCAAATTTATATTAGACCACACAAGGAGTACCAGCTTTCAAATACAAGAAGAATTATCAAAACCAATTCACCCTGAGAAAATTTATGAGGTAACACTTATAAAAAAAACATACAGTCGAATTGAATACCTCCTCTTTTTAGAAGTCAGTTAATAAGTTTTTAGGTGATAACATCTCTTAGAATATTTTTTTCTAGTAAGCCTTAAGTCCACTACCGTGTTATGGCTTCGTTTCGGTTTTCCACCGAAGAGCATCAAATAATGTTGCTAAACCTAGGTTTACACAAGTGAAGTGTAGCTATAGGAAAAGCTAGTTAAACGATATTTTTTTTAAAACATCTAGGTAGCAATTTTTTTGTTAATTAAACGAATAAGTAAATAATAATATATCTCTCTATCTATATCTCATATTGACTAAAGACTGAATCTTAATTAAATTTAGATAAACGAACGTTTTATAGATGGTAGAGCCATGCTGCAGTTATATTAGTAGTATAGTATGTAGTATAGTAGTATAGCACGAATGGGTCGGCTCGACCGGGGAATGACCACGCTCTCACAGAATACCAGCGTAAAATAGTACCTAGCTTAATGCTGCTGTGTTTCGTATGGTGAGTGTAGAGAACCGGAGACCCTTTTTACTGGAAACGAGGCATTCCATCTTAGTGCTCACGGGTGACAACGCATCTGCATTTTGATTTGTAATCGAGGATAGATGTAGATGTCTATGGGCCGCAGCAACCACTTACCATCAGGTGGACTGTGTGCTGGTTTTTCACCTATCTTATTAAAAAAATCAGCTTTTACACGGAACTGCGATCCTATGAAGCGCTCGATTTCAGGCTCTCCTTCAGCCTATGAAAAGTAATTGCTGTGACATAGAGTGCTTCTTTGGCCAGGTTGGCAAGAGCATTTTTTTATAATTTTGAGCTGTTACCAGGAAAACACTACTCTCTGGTCTCCTATAACATTCCTGGAATTATACGGGGTAGGGGATTCATTTACACCGCCATCATTACAATACCTTCGACGCTGCTCGTTGTCAACGTTTATACTGCGTTTACATTAACTCTAGTAGGGTAAACTCGCTCTAACAAAGTGTACTATTTGTATATTATGGAGTTAGGACTTTACCGATTTTCCTAAAATGGGTCTCCAAATTCTTTACTGTGTAACGCTACTCCTAAGTTACGGCTGATTGAATAAGTGTCCTATTCCTCAGGTAAGCTTATTCTTTTACAAACCAAACTATCTTCTAACTGCAATTGCTATTCGACCAACCTTAACGGTCTCTAGTCTCTAGAATGAACCAGCATTTTTTTCATTCATTCTATCGGGTTAGTGGACCATTAGCTGACCGTTAGAGTTTATAAGTAGTCTTTAACAAGTATCAGCCAGATTGTTAACGAAAGTCGAGATCAAAGCACTACGTGCCAAAGCACAGGCGATATTCACAGCCATTTTTTACGTTTTTCCCCCGTATTTTAAGTCGGCTTGATGATTTGAGTAGAGCCAACTCTTCCGATTGTATGTTGTAGTTACGCTAGAGCGGAATTGATACTAAAGGCCCGTATTCGATAAAGAATCAAGATAGCCATAGTTACGTTTAATTCATTAGATTAGTAGGCTCCATTGTTTCCAGAAATATGTTACTCAGTAAAATAAACAAACTAGCGGAAATATTCTTTAAGAAAATATCTTATTAAATTATCTTATCTTTCCAAAAATTATTTCAAGTTTAAAGAGGGAAAATTAAAAATGTGAATTTAATAAAATTTTAAAATTATTAATTAGAAACTATTATGGTTAGTTATCCTAGAACCAAATAAAAGTTGTTTAATCGTAAGTGTTCGCATATCGTAAGTGATTCTTTGATTTATGAAATCCTTCTGAAAGGAAATGTGCAGGAAATAGTCACGGAATCAGATTGTTAGTACTATAAACGTTGCCATCAACATCTGTCGAGGTAACCTCAGAATATATAGTACATAACATTTATCAACTCTAATGATCATTTGTAGCGTTCGACTAGAGATATCGAATATGTAATTCTATATCTAGTCGAGCGGTAAACGTTTAAACGGTATTTCATAAAGTAGTTTTTTCAAAGTTGACCACACAAAGAAAATGTGTCACTAAACCATTTATGCTGCCCGATCAAAGTATGGCAGCATTTTCTTAAATTAACCTAATATAACTATATAGCCGATAAGGTAGATTAACCTCATTTAAAAATGCTATGAAATGAAAAAGATGTCTTTTATTGCCTAACCCTATATAATTGTATACAATATGAGAATGATGAATCGATTATGCGGTTTTCGCATGGAACTTGTATTTTGTCTGATATAATGCTATTGCCAATAGTGCCAATTATTATAATACATTTCTATTTATTTTAATTACGATTATTATTGAAATTATGCTTAAAATGTAGGAATGATTGCATTTCGAATCCGAATTTGCAATTTCAGATATAATTTAACATTTTGTTAATATATGTATAAAATATATGTTTTAAAAAGTATTGGTGGAAATATAAAAGCATTTTTATTAAGTATGAAATAATTCAACTTAGAAAATTCATCGCCCGATTCGATCCTGTGGGTCGCATGAGTTACTAGTATATGAAATGCCGGAGAAATCTTTGGCTTTCGAATAATAATTGTCTTCTTATAGTTCATGTAAACTTGGAGTCCGGTGACTGAAGGAATAGAAATAGAAAGGTGCGAGGCGTCTGGCGCTGTCATCATATCTTACCTATATATTCTGGTAAGGGTGGCGATTATAGCACCCTCTCTTAAGAAAAGAGTTCTTTGGTGTTTACATTGATACCAGTTGATGATGATAAAGATGGTTGAAAAGTAAACGACCACGAAAATTTATCCTCCTGCGTTATATATTTTCATGCCATAAGGGCATGAGGAACTATTTTAATTTTTTTTTGTCTGTCTGTCTTATGTGACCGGGCTTATCTTTGAAATGACTGAACTGATTGTAATGAAACTTACCGTACTGATAGAGAGCAGTGTCAGTATTCTAGGCTGTACTTTATCTTTAGGTAGAGAAGGTTCTTTATGAGATATAAATAAAGCGATAAAATAAATGGTCTTTGATTATTATCTTAAAATCTATATAACACGACATTAATGGATCCCACCCAAGCTAAGCCAGGCCGTGTCGTTTGAATATAACAAATAGAAATATTCTTATAAATGAAAGCCATGCTGGTGACACCAGTGCTCTACAGTACCAGTTTAAATGTCGGAAATTTAAAATAAGTTAAAATAAACGCGACAAAAACTGTAAAAATAAAGTTTTTTTTTAATTCCATGTCGGTATAGCTATCACATAAATGTATGAAATCATTATTTTTTAAAGAGTGTTTAATGTTTTTTTTTACGCAGACTCATTGTCGCAGATAATATATTTTTTGCTTGTTGGTATGATTATAATAATTTTTGTACCCCAAGTTGGTGTTTTGTATAGTCATGCACAGTAAAATGTTTAACAGGGGTTTTGAGCTTTGTAAATCTGTTACCAAGACCTAACGGTAGACCGAATGAAACTGTGTAATTATTATTTGTCACCATGTATGTAGGTTTATCATATAATTAAATAAGCCGTAGTAACATCAGTGTCAGTGCGACTTGCCTTAAGGACGGACAACATTATTATGCCCACTGTTTTGATCCTGCCGCACAACTGATAGTCAATTTTCAGAGTGATAAGTTTTGTGCTTGGCGGCAAAACAAAATATTTTGAAGACACCTGCATGTTTTAGAAATAGACAAATATTTTAAGGACGCGTGAAGTCAGCCAAAACCTGGTTTCTCCTATTTGAAAAAACATTATGTTATATCTTTTGAATTGCTCTACGACGCCGAAAACGCATAAAAAACCATTTAAAAAAGGAACCTGTTTCTTTTAAATATGACTTTTGTTTGACACGTTTCATTGAATATTTTTCCCCTAACTTAGTTAATTTTTACAGAGAACGAAGTTTGTGGAGAAGCTGGTTCCGGGCATCGCGGGTCGTTGCGCGGCGCAAATAAGCTAGCTCGCCGCGCGCGCTCCTTCAAAGACGACCTACTCGAGCGCATCTCTAACATGCGATCACCGGCCCAGGCTCACCATCCTCCTCATCTCTCGTCCGCAATGAGGTAAACTTTACCCAGTTTTTTTTTGTCAAAAGCTTTGGACTTACGGTTTCCGTATAAAACCGCGTGAGAATGCTCATAACTGATGTCAAATTTCATGATCATAATTATCATTACAGCCAAAAGTCTACTACTAAACATAGGCCTCCTTCAAGCAATGCAACAAAAAGCGGCCCTGAGCCACCTACTTATTACTATATCATTTTATATTACATATTTGTGTAATTATATATTATTATGATTTATCATTTATCACATTATTTCATAAATAAAATAATTATATGTTTCTAACATTGGTATTTAGTCGTGACCGACCGAAGCTTCGGCTTCAGCCACTTTCGACAAAAAGTCACCTGTGGCGAAACCTTCGATTTCGGCCAAAATGGGCCGAAGTTTTGGTCGAAGCCGAAGGTTTCTAGCAAGTGCTGAAATTGAACAAACTTACGAACGAGTGAGAGCTCGGTGGATTTTGGCGACGCAATTTTTAAAAATTGATCTTGATATGATTAAAATTACCTTTTTACATTATACAGTCAATATAAAGCTTTAATTTAGAAGTATTAAAACCATTTATATTCAGCCTCGGCTTCGGTCAGAAATTAACACTAGTATTTGTAGTAATGCAGGTAAATGCGTTACCGAAATCGATAATACAACATACTTAGCGAACTCACGTGCAATATCTGGCGTTACATTTTTTGATAAATCTTCTGTTCTTGTGATGATGAATTTCTTGTTTTATCTTGCTGTAATTGAAAGTTGATCTTTTATTGCGCTTAGTTAGTGCTTGCACAGATGATGCTTCCATGTCAATACTGGCGTTATCTCCTCTATTGTTGGTCTATGTATGTCTGCATTAGTTAGCTATCTACCGTAATAAACTATCACTAGGTATGATTAAAACTACTTTTACGGATTTTATCGCGTTTATTTTTAATTTTTATTTTTAATTCCCGACGTTTCGGGCGCTTTCCAGCACCCATGGTCACGGTCACGGGAATTAAAAATAAAAAATAAAAATAAACGCGATAAAATCCGTAAAAGTAGTTTTAATCATACCTAGTGATAGTTTATTACGGTAGATAGCTAACTAATGCAGACATACATAGACCAACAATAGAGGAGATAACGCCAGTATTGACATGGAAGCATCATCTGTGCAAGCACTAACTAAGCGCAATAAAAGATCAACTTTCAATTACAGCAAGATAAAACAAGAAAATCCGTAAAAGTAGTTTTAATCATGTGCAATGTTCGCGTAAATATAAGAAATCATTATATCACTAGGTATTTTTAATTTTATTGCGGGAAAACACTGCAGGTAGTTTATATTACTTTGCAGGAAAATAACGCACATATATTTAGCTGTATGGGATAATGACATACACGTAGAGACAAAAACAAAATTCACAATCAAAGACATTATCTAGGTATGTTCTATATGTATATGAGTAAAATTTAGACAGACGCTTGAGATTCTGAAAAGTTTTATTTAGACTGCTTAGCTGTTTAAGTTAGGTAACATTTTTCGCAATAGAACCTTATCTTACCAAGTTATGTACATTGTGACGAAATCTACGAGCTGACTATATTGGTTCTTTTGTTATCTAAATTGATAAATATAATGCTCATACATAATATGTCAGTATCTTCATTGTCAGCGACAGGAAAATATCACTTATTCATTAAGTTTTTAATATAAAATAGTTCGAAATGAATTGAGTTGTATATGTCCCAGTATATAATTACGAATGGTGTAACGATTAGTGCTAGTTGTGCAGTTATTATTATAATGTAGTGCACTAAATATGTCGTGTCGTTATGAGTCACAGCCGCGACCTGCGTATCGCGCTCATTAATGACATTGTCCGCTGAAATCTCATTACTTTAGTGCGTGCAATGTTAAGTGATTACATTTTAATATCCGCGCCAGACTTGTCAGCGCGGCCGAATTGCCTTTTTTTATTTATCGAGCGGCCAGTGTCAATCGGTTTTCTTATTTCTGAGGCTGTTCGAAAGTGGCCTGCCTGAGTGATTGGCGCCATATTTATTCTTCACGGTTCAGTCGCAGGCGTTCAAGTATTTCCAAATGTCAAATGCTCCGCGCTTGCCAGTGGGTGGTTGGTTCAACAAACGCACGAACCGACTACACCGGCGATTCGCTAACAATGGAAAACGGTACGGCCTCTTGTTGTACAAACTATTATTCTGGTACAAACAATGTGTTTTACGTGTATTTAAAAATATGCCAAATTTTGAAACAATTCTAGTTTTATAGTTCCACTAGGATAGACAGAATACATCATTACTGCATTTTTGTTCAAGTGGTGATACGATACCTCGCAGAATATCAAATATTGCTTAGCTTTGTTTTAAGTTGTCGATATATGCCTGCATACATGCAAGCAGTCTATTTCGCAACAAATAGCTTTCCAATGGGTGGCTTGTTATTACTTAAAATATTTAATAATACACCAACTGTTGGTACTAACAATAACATTTGGAATTTATACTGGTCTTTTTTTGCGGTTGGTACCATGATCAAACTGTAATAAAATTAATTTTATATTAAATAAAATCAAGAATTGTTTATGGACGGACTCCTATAGGCATATTAAAATTTTGTTTCAGATCCCACTCCCCACTTAGTCCGAAACTTCGGAACATGGGGCCTAAATCTGTTACCGTCGAGGAGGGTGAAGTTACGCCCGCCAAAGAATTGGAACGACTAGTCAAAGAGGTTCGTTAAGAAGCTTATTTAATTACTTTCCTTACCTAGTTGGTTTAATAGAAAATATGTTAATATATTTCTTCAGATATGATACGGTTTCTGTGAATAACTATTTAGTATTTGGTTTTATTATACCTAATATTTTTAGCGTTTCTTAACTTCCAACATGGTTTTTATGCCCTTGTGTGTAAATAATGCTTTATTTTCTCAAATTCGCACAGCAATATAATTGTTCCAGGTTACATTTGGCCTAAAGCATTTCTCCGATGTAATTACAAAGCGGAAACTGGAAATGTTGCCAGACAACGGTACGATTGTGTTCGAATCAATCGCAAACATACACAAAGGTAATTGACAATTCAATTATTGAAAACACTCTAGTTGATTGTGTATTGTAAGGAGAGTTTGTTCGCAGCAATAAAGCCGTACTGCAGCCGATCACCACAGCTAACTAGTGCAGTGAAGAGGCTCTGCACGGCGTTGGCTATGCTGATCCGCCTATGTGATGAAGTCACAGCAGTTAGTTTACGTGCGGACGCTACTAACGAAGAGTTGGATACTTCGGCGGCAGCACTGTCGCCGGAGCACGTGAGCTCAGTAGTAAAAGGAGTTACTGCTGCCGTCGAGGAGGTGGCAGCCCTTGCGCAACAACACATGACGCGACCAGCTCTGTCGCCTAGGCCGCCTCTCGTGTCTCCGAGGTCTTCGACGCAACGGAATTCCTTGCCTGGTACGTTCAATTTAGATAATTTTTTCGTTTGGTTTTTTAAAAAAATCATGCAGTAGGTTGTTTTTTTTTTCAAATACATAAGTATTACTTTATGTTTTCCACACGAAAGCAAGCAATATGGATTTGCTTTATTATGTTATTTTCCTTTTTCCCTTTCAGTATCGCAGCTCCTAAATTGTAACAATTTAGAATATTCGCCACCTTGGGCTGGCGAAATGGCCTGTTTTTTTTTTTGGCTGTTTCACATCATTGTTGCTGTTCTCCGTCACCATTCTGGATGATTTTAGCGTGGCTATTTTTAAATAGAAATGATATACCGCGTTGTCAGCTAACAAACTCACTCCTAATGTTTGTGGCACCCATAAAAAAATTCATCGCTCTAGCTATTACATTTAACGTATCTTTTTTTTTAAATTCTTTTTTTTTGGGACAAATTTTAACATGATATTATTTTAAACATCGTTAGACTTCCTTGGAGTATACAGGTCTCCATAATCCACTTGCTGCTTATGCTGATTATGATGATCTATAAACTCGCTTTTCACTCTACACTTTAAGTTTGACACTTGGAGACATTGAATATTCTAATAAGATTTGAATAAATATTCTCAATATTTATGTTACTATATAGTATTTTATTAAACTTTTTTCAGATATCCCTCTAACGCCAAAAGAACGTTCGCTTTTAACCGGCGAAACGGGCAATGAACCGAGTGGAGTTCGAGCCTCGCATTCGTCAGAGTCAGTTTTGGATGCTCCCGACTCACCGCCTCCTAAACCAGCCAGGCCTATTAGGTAAATACATGATGTATTAAATACATGTATGTAATTAATAAATACATAATGTAATATACTTAGGTACTAATGTCTTGTTTTGTTTAATTAGTTAGAGGGTATGCTTATAATTATTTTAAGTAAGTAGACGTAAATATATTTTACTACAATAACTATTGTATGGCTATTTTGTTATTTTTAGAGGTGGGTCTACGCTAGAGGAGCCGAGCACGAGGGGAGCATGAGCTGAGCACAAATTCGTGTAGTGTGGACCGACTTACAAGCCACGAACGAGCGCACCTCTAGCATTTGGTTCTTGATCGACTGTGCTCCGCCTATTGTCGGTTTTTTGACGAACATAAAGGAATTTGCATCGCATGAATCGATTTGTATGTTATAGGCTCGTTGTACGTCCACACTTGACACCGCGAGTAGAGCGGCTCAGTTTGTGCTCAGCTCTTGCTCGACTCCTCTAGTGTAGACCCACCTTAACGATACCATGTCGCCTAACAGTCAGAATACTTGCAGCTTGCGACAGCCACACCGCAATCCTTAGTTTCGAATCCCAGATCCCACAAGACCGGTATTTTTGGGTTCAAACATAGAATATTATAATACGTACATATTAGAACGTCGGAGCCCGTGTAGCCACTAACATGTCACTAAGATGTCAATTCACACCTATAAATGTCAACACATCTCTTTTAACGTTACAATCGCTTCTAATATTCGATTAGTTTGCACACTATTTTCAAATAGATATGTATTAAAATTTAAACGATTTATTTTTTAATGATGATCTTGAACATTAATCAAAAGGTTAAAATGTGTAAATTCGCTCAGTCTGTCAACACAGCGAATCGGGTTTGTAGTAGTGATAATACGACGTAATTGCTTGTTTCCGGCGACGCCAATCCTCGTACAAAATAAGGTTGACAGCCATTCTATTGTGTATTATAGTATTCTAGGGGTTCAAACATAAATTGTTGGTTTTCGGGATTGTGTTGTAATTTTTCCTGTGCTTCTTCAACTTTGTTCCTACCTACAGCTACAGCCAGCTATATATGAACTCCCAAGCTTGCTGCCAATCTCGTACAAATTTGTAATTTTGGTTATTTCTACATGATTTTGTGTTAGCGTGGCCGCTCAAAAGAATGATTATAAAGAAATATTTAGTTCCTCTTTTAAAGTTGATCGGTGCTCTTTCGTATATTTAATAAACAACTACCGGTTCCACCTCGCCGGCAATATATTTATGTGACCTTGACACTACGACAGCGGTTTTATTAGTTTTCACTTTTAGTGAAATCAGTTCTAACGTCTTCTTCGGACAGTAAAAGTGAAAGCATGGTGTGTGTTACAGGAAAATCGAGTTGGCTCCACCTCTGCCGCCAAAGCGCAAGTCTGCGAACGATAACTCCTTGTTAGCCCTGTCCATTGACAGGTGAGTCGTTAACCTTATTTTTCTTGTACGTTCTAACTATTTTGCTTGATGTGGGAATATTTTTTCTATCTCTTTCTTCTTTGCACGTTTTTGACTTTTAAAAACTAATGTTTTTTGTTTCACATATACGACTCTTTTAATATAAATCATTATGAGTTCAAAAACCGATTGTTTTTACATTTTTAGACATCGTGTTAAAACAATCGCGACTTTTCATAACTGCGTGTGCAACAAATTATGCGCCCATGCCGCAAATATTAAATGATATAAAGCGATTCTTATTTCTTTTTATGCATCGACATCATCGCATTCACATATGGTAAAAACAGGCACTTCTTGTGTTAATTTATGACTATATTATTCCAAGATTTACTGCTACATACAACTGCAACAATTTAATTCATTTCTCAAACGAGTCGGAAATATCAAATTAAATATCATCACATAACGCAGATTTATATTCTTATACATTTCGAAACATGAATTTGTTTCATTTTTATTTTGCAAATCTCATTTTCTAATTAGATAAAACGGTCCAAGGACGTTCTGTTCGAAAGTAATTACAATTTTTCGAAGGGGATATGTTAAAAACGCCTTTAGTTTACTTTTAGAAATAAATATTTAATTATATACAATTATAATGAATAATATTCGAATAATTAATTGCTTGATGTGTTGAAACGTTACATAAGTGTAATATTATTTTTTATGTTGTAGAATGTTCCGTAAATATTCTTATACGTAAAATACGTATATAGAACACAACAGCTTTATGCAAAATACAATTGCGAAAAATAGTCCGTTGCGAGCTATGACTACATAGGTATATGTGCAAAGTAGTTATTGTAACCGACTTAGACTTTTGAGTTGTTAAATTTTTGTTGCTTAAGTTGTTAAATAATTTCTGATGATTTCATGACGATTAAACTGTTTTGTCGATGGTAATGCGCATACAGACAATCCATTCGTTATAGTTTTTTCTATCGGGCGGTCGTTTTACAGCAATCAATTATACTTCAACAGCTTATCAACATCATCAAACATTGTAAATAAGAAAGAACTGGCTCCCACTTTATTTTATACAACATATCAGAAACAAAATAGATAATAACTACAAAAATAGTCATTTCAATGGCACTGGTGTACAACTAATGGTCGCGGATCGATTGTGTAGTCGAGTATATGCGCCTCCTAATAATCGATTTAAATTGAAATTTTACAGTTCTTTATAATAACATTGTGTAATATTGCAGTACTTATATAATAAAATAAGCAATTTATAACTTAAACTTCATTAGCCCTAAACACTAATTCTTTGTTCAATAGTTTTTTCTATTATTTCATAAATTGCAATTAATTCTAAACAGTTATAATAATAATGCCCTCCAGAATTTCGGTCACGGCGGCTTGTCTCAATGTAGACTAGCCATCTGCACAGGACACGATTATAGTGCTCAAGTGTGTTTGTGTTATGCCCAAGCACATCTGCATTCTTTATTTTCTTACTCTCTCATAGTCTTTCCGAGGCACAGGGGGTGAAAACACCGCCAACTGCCTGACTTGGGGCTGCTATTGAGAATTTCTTGATAAAAAAACTAAAGGCTGATTTTGGCCCGACCCAGAATTAGAACCCCGGACCTCATGATCAACAACTGTGTTTACGACCACTAGACAGTGAATCAGTAAAATAGGTTCATAATATTAGGTTTAATGATATTTTCTACTTACAAATTGCATGTAAATTATCGTTGCTTTGCGTTTTTAGATTGCGATTTCGAAACACGTCTGTCATTGTAAAATGACTCGAATTTGTTATTCAAATGCATTCATTTATGCAAAGTAAAAAGTGGATTTGTTGTTTTGAATGTTGCACGATGATTTCGATTTTATTTATTATTAGTGAATGTATGCGAAAGATTTGTCATTTTTTTATCTGTACTAAAATCTATGCCATAAATTGTTAAGGATTTCGTGTAGTTACTAAAACTGTTGGTAAATATTAATTTTTTTTTATTTGTGGTATCTATGTAGCGAAGTTTAAAACGGTTAGTATTATTTAAAGGTGAAAAATAAATATTTGCTTATATCCTGTAAACCCGTAAGGCAATCATATGGAATGTATGTTCTAACGTGGTACTTTTGATAGACTGTAACGAATTGTTACACTCGTTTCGCACAACATGTTCCCGTTAAGAAATGTGCCGAGATTATTTGATGGTAAAGTGTATGTCAAGAATAAATAACCACCTAAATAAAACAAAAAATATTTAAAGATATCCTAGCAATCCAATTTTCGTAAAGAAATGGCACTGCCTAATTAAACATGTATCTATAATACGAAAAAGTTATAGAGTTACTGCATTTTTAAATAAATTAAGATAATACATACCACTTTTCACATAGTTGAAAGTTTTGTTAAAAATAGCGATGCATATTCATTAAATATGAACTAGAAACTAGCACAAGTCAGTTATACCAGTTACTCGACTGTCGTTTCTTCAGGGGCAATGTACACGCTTATACAACAAAGTCCTAGAAAATATCCAGACCTTATCTATCAAAAAGTTTAAAATATTTATTAAGCAAAAATTGTTTAGTATGGGTTATTAAGCTACTAAGGAGTACATGGTTGACAATAACCCCTGTGAATGAGATGTTACCATGCTGTTTCTAAATAACAATTGTATAAATATTATATTGTAAGTTACGCTTTAAAAAAAAGTCCCGCTGGGTTTCTTGCTGGTTCTTCCCAAGGCAGAGGTTTTTTTCCGTACCAGTGGTAAAATAAAAAAAGACTCAATAAGAATTACTTGTAATCAATATTGAATAAAAATGATTCCATTCTATTTTACTGTTCATTTTTTATGTTGCATAGTCTTTATATCTTATTTTTTGCTTTCTAGATTGTCACTACAATCTCACAGCAGCGGTTCACTAGACTCCATGCTGAATGTATCCAACGATGAAGACAGAAATGCACATGATTCGATCAACCATGATCAAGTTTTCGCCACACCCCCTAATTCAGATTTAGTTGGTACGTGCAAAATGCCATATACTTCTCTCCCCCTGACTCCATTTTTTTTTCATGTTGTATTTGATTACTGGAGAAGAAAGATTCCCTTTTCTCTCATTGAATTGACGACATGTCAGGATGCAGGTGACTTAATCTACGTTTATCAGTGGACTTGTGAGTAGATGTAAGGTGATAAAAATGATGATAATTATTTCACCAAGGTACTAGTTACAGTTCATAATCATTTCAACAATTCACCATGCATGCGTCATCTGTTTGTCATTCAGTTGTTTACGGGGTGCAATTCAGATCAGTTGTTTTCGTAGTAAATTAATACAATTTACTGCCCCATATCCGGCGCAGAGGTAAACTGGAACAGGAGATAGGCAGTAGCATCTTCCTAATAACCACTGAATAATACTAAGGAAGTGCAGCTGATAAAACGCCTGCCAAGTGTGGCTACTGTGGCAAACATCCATCCTATGAAGCAATTTGTTGGGGAATTTCTATTTACAGTAAAGTAAAAAGTAAAGTTACAGCCTATATACGTCCTACTGCTGGGCACAGGCCTCCCCTCATTTCTGAGAGGGTTTTAGAGCAAGGAAGTGTCCGCCGCGCTGCGTGTTGGCGAACTTCACATATCTTCGAAATATTTTTTTTTCTTATTTCTCAGACATGCAGGTTTCCTCACGATGTTTTCCTTCACCGCCGAGCACGTGGTAAATCAGCACTTAAAATTGTAATTAACAATTTCATTGGTGCCGGTGGGGATCGAACCCGGGTCACTCGCGTTCTGTTATATTTACAGCGAGCATTAACCATCTGAGCTACCACGGCTCTATGTACAATAGTGGACTTTAATGCAGTGGATGGATAGTATACTGTTGCTGCACTGACTATGATATATAAGTTAAAATACACACACAAACTACAAATATATAGAACATACGGCCTTATTTAAAATAGAGATATAATTAAAATTTTTGCTAACTCATCAATAAAATTACATCACGAATCTCTTATTAACATAAATTGGGTTGCTAAAACAAAAAAGAGTAAAAATTTTAAATTAAAAAAACATATCAAAACATGGATGTTTTCTGATAATTTTTCTAACTTGTTTCATTATAAATTTTCATAAATTCATATCTCGGGAAATATATAATCATTGGTATATTTTAAAGGTTAATTTTGATTTTAGAGATTAAGAATAAGCTCATAATATAATAGTAATAATTATTAAACATCAGCAATTAATAAATATTTCAACAAAATAATAAGATAGCGTAAGATGTATGAACGCTACTAAATCATAATTACCTCAAAAGTATATTAATGTATATTTGTTTAACATTACAGGTATGTGCAGTTGTAACAGTGCTAATGAAATACGAGCTTCAATGGAGTCGCAAGAGATGCACATTAACAATGTGCATGCACACTCAAACCACAATCGGTATGCTTCTCATATTTCTATACTTATTCAAAGTAATTTGCATTCTTAAAAGTTTTTATCATAATGCACGTCTATAGACTTAGATACTGCATCATACCTACCTTCTGTATTATCGCTTAACATTTTTGGATCACATTGAACATGGATTTAAAATTGTGTGTGCTAGAGTACATCTTACATAATATATGTATGTCCTGCATAGGTAATAATTTTCAACAGTAGTCGTAAATTGGGCTTGTCAAGTTTTTGACCCCAATTTTTACAAGGATAAGACTAAGATTCGTAATTACATTTTATTTCAAAATGTCGTCGGCATGGAGAGTGCCGCTACATTATCCTAATAGTTAGCAAAATAAGTATGTAATACAATATAAGACACCACTCGTCCAAGTATTTTTTCATTTTTATTGGTGTGGTGCATCTGGCGAAAGTTTCAAACAGTCCGATTTGTTTTAGTGTTTTGTTGTACGTTTTGACAAGCTGAGTGAAAGCTATTTTTATTGTCTACATGTATAATCAAAATCACATAATTTCTCTATGGGAATCCTCATACTAATCTGTGCAGTCTTAGTTTATTTAGGTTGAAATAAAAAAAATTGCTTTTTTAGCTTTTCCAACGAATCTGGCTTCGTGTCGGTGGGCCACTCTGAAATATCCACAGAACACAGCTTCACCTCAACATTCTCGGCTCAGCACTACTCTAGCCACACGGACAGGTAAACGATTTCGTACCAACCATTTTGGGTGCGTTTAGCAGAAAAAAGCGCTAGCAATCGCTTGTAAGCAAAATGGCGAAACTAAACAGTTTTCGGCCAGGACACGTTTGCTAACTTCAGTAGCGCTGACACAATCCTCCATTTTGCTTATTTAATTTGTTTGTTTTGAAGTAGAGTTTATAAGTTGTTTTGTGCAATATTAGTTTTAAGTAATATAATGACATGAATAAACATATACATGTTTTTAAAAATTCATGATTGGTAAGTTTTTAATATGAATACTTTACAAACATATATTTAAATTAGGTTAGGTTCCCCGGTTAAAACTAACTTCGTGCCCTAGAGGAAAATAGCTATTTACGATTTGACAGCGCTTGCCGCTTACGATCGCCATTTTGCTTATAAGCGTTTGCTAGCGCTTTTTTCTGGCAAACGTACCCTTTGTGTTCAGTGTTTTAACTGTTTGCGTAGCATTCACACCAATTCCATACATCATAGACCATATATTAAATCACAATCATGAATGTTTGTTTTGTTTTTCATTCACCATGTCCCTTACACATCCCCGTTATTGTTTTTGCAGTACTTTTGAAAGTACAGACTATGTGAGCGAAGTGAAGTGCACACTGCAAAGCTTTGAGAGCCGCATGAATGTTATCAATATGAACAGTGTAACCTCGCACCATTCATCAAAGTGAGTGTTTTTGTTTTACCACTATTCACATTTTTATTTTGATCATCATAATCGAATGTGTTTGGTTGTGGTTGCATAGGGTTCAATTTTATGTTTTGTGTATTAAGCTGTTACGCACAAATTAGAATAACATTAATATGTTTCTTTTTACCTATTATAATATTTTAGTGTACAGTGTTGCAGTATGATGGTGATGTAATTGAAAAAAAAAAAGCCTTTCGCGTTGCGGATATTCCATGAATCCACATAAAAAAATTGAGGTCTTGTGATCTTCGACAGACGGCTAGTGTATGCATAGCTTATAATATGTAACTGCCAGTGCAGCAAATTGAAAAACTTCATGAGCCGTCAAACTTTCGTAACGCTTGTCGAAACTTTAAGAATGGTTTGGAAATATCAATAAATGGCTATATAGTTTTTTATAGTCAAATATTTTTAAATAGTAAAATTTATGTGTCCCGCTTAGATTGCCTCATCAGGAGGGATTTTGCCAGCTGTGAGGCCTGTAAGGTAGGCAAATTCCATTTTAGGCCGATATTCCATTTTAGTTTTCAGAGGTGACAATGCATGCGTCCTTTGTTTAAAGTTGTTTTCACAGTTGTCCATGGACTGCAGTAGCTGCTCGCCATCAGATTGACTAATCATTACTTTAATTTAAAACAAAAGCGGACCTAAATAATAAATTTAATAATTAATACCTTATTGAGTGATATTTTACATATTTATTATCAATTGTTTAAATGTGTAGAATAGCCCCTATACCATAAAACATAAACAAGCTTCTTTGTAGGATTTTTACTGTAAAATATATGAACAATCTTATTCAAAGGCGCCATATTTAATGATTTGGCAAAAAGTGCCACGGGTCCACGTTACATTAGTCTATCCAATTTAATTAGACAAGAATGCATGATGAATCTTTGGTACTATGATATTTCAAGGACTGTAGAACCTCTAACTAAAATAAATATTATATCTAGCTGTGATATATTAAAAATGATAATTATTATTAATTATGTAAGATTCAATAGAAATTTACGTACGTTTACCATAATGGATGGAAAGTTTGAGACTCAATGCTACAGTATTGATTTATTTCAGATTGGCTAGTATCACATCGGACGAGAGTGAGACTCCGCCCGAGCTGCCAGTGAAGACTCGGCGCAATATACGCGCTGATGTACAGCAACACTTCCCAACAGTCGAGATCCGGTGGGTTTCCGTGAGGTGTTTGTACAGTGTTAATTTAGAAGGCAATTACAACTTATTACGTCCTAGAGCGACGCTGCAGCTTGACGTGCTTTTGAAAAGCCTTCTTTTTTTCCATTGTAAGTGCAGTACTTGCGTTTCGCGTACCTTATGAGTAGGACATAACTAATGGTGGCCACACACGGTCTGTTCAACTGATCAGTTCAAATTAAAACTGTTGATATTTTTTAAAATATCGGATTTTCGATATATCCATAAATAAATTTATATGTAAAACTACGATATTAATATATTTATAATGATCGATATATCGAAAATCCACTATTTTAAAAAATGTCAACAGTTTTAGTTTCAACTGATCAGTTGAACTGACCGTGCGTGGGGTCCATAACAAAAAGGTTCAGACAACAATAGCTTCCAAATTCTGAAATGTCAAAGACAAAATCAAACCAGATTGTGATGTAGCCGATTACAAATTTAGAAAACAACCATAGAAATTGGGCGCCAATGATGTCATTCATATTTAATAAAATTATATATAGCCTTCTTATTTAATATAATTATCAAATAATTATATTATATAATATGAACTAATATATGAGATTTGTGTTTAACCTATGCTATATATTGCATCGAACTTTAAGATTATTTATTTATTACAGCCTAAGGCAGGCGGGTTGGCAGGCATACATAAATTGCACAATGACACACATCCAGACCCGTAACAATTATTTGTATGTAACTAACACTTGTTTTGCGCAGGATTCGAACCTTAAACGCTTAGCCAGTCATACATATTTTCTGGTTGTTATCAGGAAGACTCTGCTGCACTTTTTTTTCTTCCTGTTGTTTCTTACGACATTCACGCAAATGTACGGGGTAGTAGATATTCGTACACTGCCATTATACACTGAAGTTGATTTTTTAAGCAGTTTTATATTTATTTTTGAACTGATTTAAGAATGAGGTTTTATGTTTGATTTTATGTAAGCAACACAATAAATAATATGTGTTATCTCTGTGGTTAGTAAAATGATTTTATGATTTTTTATTTATAATCGAAAGAGTATATTTAAATTACATTTTATTTGTTAACTTGAGCTTCTTATATTCTTTAGTCCAATGAAAATGGTGAAAACATTCAACTTGTACTAAAAAGTAAAAGTCAGCTGACTACAAAAAACTAAAAAGAAGAAAATAATTTCCACATAACAACCTGCAAGTCGGATTATTTATTTTTCTTAGCATTGATTTGTGAAGGTCTTACGTGAAAATCATTATATTCTTTTTAGGACCGATTTTTGAATCCCTCGGTTATTTTATTTATAGGAAAAAATACAACATAAACCGATTGCAAATTACGGTTCTCAGAATAAAATAGTTCAAATGTTTCACATTTATATACAGTCAATTTATAATTTTATTCGATGGATATCTGTTATCTAACGATTGGAAAATCGCCTATTACCATAACAGCCTACTATAGTTCACTGCTGAACCTAGGCCTACCCTATAAATTGCCTCATAGATATTTGCCATAGTTGCCAGCAAGCAGGTTTTTAATTTTTAGTCTTTATTAGGGAGACTGCTGCCCATCCGATTTGTTTCCTCTTATGATATTCACGGGTCATAAGAGTAAAAATTGGCTCTAATTGTTTGAGTTTTATTCTGCGTAAAGGTTTTATTAAATGTTAAAAAAATGTTTAAGCAATGAGGTCTTTGCGCAGACAAAGCCCGGCGTGCTCGCTGCACGGCGACGCGCGGCCGCACACGCTGGCCGACCACCACCCGCCGCGCCCGCCGCCGCTGCCGCTCAAGAAGAAACACAGTCAGTTTCACTTTATTACACTGTCATCTATATATTGATCTTCTTCTTAAGGTGGCCCTAGTCGATGGCACAAACTAAGTGGTGGGCGGGGTTAAAATGCATGCTATCTCAGCCGACATCGCGTGCGAAAGCGAAAGGCATGATGATTTACAACGAAACGAGCGCGCGAAATTTTATAAAAAGACCTTTGGGAATCTGGATATCATGAAAAATCTATTGAATGTATCTGTTTAAAATAAAATTATTTGCACTTTTGAACACCTAATCTATCCCTGTATGGTAACTGTTTTGCAATTTTCGTTCTTCTTATGGTATTTTTTTCCGCCCAAAGGTGTGTTAAAATTAGTACTTTTAAATTTATTCTTTTTTTTTACTTTTTTGTTTCCATACAGATGATGATGAGACAAATTGAAATCATTTTTTATTTTGAACGTACACCATCAAACAGTGTAGTATTCGCTAGACTACGTTTGTATTAAAGAATGAGCGACTAGTGTACCCCTAAGGTGCCGTCTCCTTGCGAAGGTTGGCAGTCATTAGGGCGATTTAAACTTTTGATATATATTAATGCGTCAAGGAAAAACTTTGTACCCTTTTTAAGCATATATCACGCAAGGAGGGAAATGAGATTTAACATTGTTATAGTTTATATAGAAAATGAGTGCAAAAGGTTGAAATTTATCTATTATGTGTTACAAATACATTAAACTAAATAAAAATTCATTGCTTACGTTTCTACGTGGTAGAGCCACGCTGCAGCTATATATGGTTTTAGCACGAATGGGTGAGCCCCCGGAGGAGGATAAGCCCACTAAAGTGGGCATCCGGGGTCTACCAATGGGCACGGACACCCAAGCAATAGAGGAGGCCATAAGGGCAAAAGGCTTCCCCATAAAATACGTAAAGGCAATACCACCGCGTAGAAGCAGACCTGGCTGCGTCTACTTTGCCCAACTGGACCACCTGAGCCTGGAGCAGCTCCAGGAATTATATAACATCGACGAGCTCCTCTACATGAGAGGGGTCGTCATCGAGGCCTGGCAAAGAAAGGCTGGACCAGCCCAATGCCACCGATGCCAGGCCTTCGGGCACGCCTCTGCCAACTGCTTCAGGCCAGTGAGATGCGTGCGCTGTGCCGGGGAGCACATAGCAAGCCTTTGCCCTCGGGGTAGGGAAGAGGAACCGAAATGCGCCAACTGTGGTAAAAACCACACGGCAAATGACCGCCGCTGTCCAGTCCTGAGGAGGACTGCGAGGAGGCAGGGGATAACCTTGCCGGGATTACTCCCGGAGGCCCCCAAAAAGCCCCCTCAGAGTCGCCCGAAAGCTGTTACAATTCAGCAGGACGGGTGGACCACCATCACCGGGAAGGGCAGGCAACCAGCCCCCCCCCCCCACCCGCAACTACCCAAGAAACGGTGGAACCCACAACGACCAGGGCAACCACCGGGGCGACTCTACAGCCCCCCCGCCAATCCTGCCACTGAACGGCAACCCTCCAAGAAGAGGAGGCGGGGGGGAAGTAGGAAGAAGTCGCAGCCTCCTCAGGCTGTCACCTCTACCCCGACACCAACCATACCAGTAGCCGCTAAGGCGCAGATTACGAGGGAGACAACCAGCGTGGGTAGAATGCCAGAAAGGGCTCTATCTGAACATAGAGCCCGCTCTACCACTAGAGCGCGCTCTACCCACAAGCAAAGAGAGCAAATCCAGGAGCCCCAACCCCCGAGACAATTGCCAACGCCTTCTTATAGGAGAACACCTACCACCGGCCTCGAAACAGCAGATGCAATCCAACGTTTGGTTGGTATTGCCATCGAGGTCGGCACGCAAGTCCTGGCTGACATAAGAGCCGGGACAGATCCAGTGACAGCGATAATGAAGGCGCTGGCAAACCTCCTAGCCCGGCACTATGGAGGAGCGTAATCTGCGCCTCCTCTATTGGAACCCGGACGGAATACAGCAGAAGCTGCATGAACTCCGCACAGTCGCCCAGCAACAGGATATACATATTATACTGCTGGGCGAAACAATATTAAATCCAAGAACGCGCATTAAGCTGCCAAATTACTACATCTACAGAAGGGACGAGGTCACTTCTCAAGGGGCCGCCTATAGAGGGACGGCGGTTCTAGTGAGGAGGGACATCGTCCATCAAGAGCTGGAATTACCATCCTTCCAGACAATGCGCTCAATCGGTATTAGAATGGAGGCGGCGGGCGAGGAACTAAGGATATATGCAGCATACCGCCCACCAGGGACTCCATTCTGCTCCTCAGACATCCGGACAGTGATGGAAGGCGATGGACCTGTTATCATCGCCGGGGACCTGAACGCCAAACACCCGGCGTGGGGGTCCAGAGTGATCACCCCGCCGGGTCGTGAACTATATGAAGACGCCGAAAAGTACCAATACGACGTTCTAGGTCCCGAGGAACCGACTCACGTTCCTACTGACCCAAGGAGGCATCCGGATGTATTAGACATCGTGCTCACTAGGAACGTCAACTATCCGATAGTGGTAGAAGTGCTGTACGACCTACCTTCACAGCACCTCCCGTTACTGATAACCCTTGGCCTGAAGGCGGTGACTACGCCGCCCAGAGCGTTTAAGACACGTGTCGACTGGAGGCTCTACTGTCAACACCTGCAGCAGAGACCTCCAGCACACCAGCCAATAAGTACAGCGGACGACGTAGAGGCCGCTGCAACTAGAATCACTAATAACATCAAGGAGGCCCTTCACGCGGCCTCTACGATCGTCCCGATCACAGCCAGGCGAGACGATCTGCCGCTTAACATATGCGTGCAGATCAGGCGCAAGAGAGCGTTGAGAAAGCTCTGGGCGCGTACTCGCTGCCCTAGATTAAAGACCCAGCTCAACACCATCTCGGAGGAACTGTCGGTTGCAGTCCAGGCCTTTAGAGGCGACGCTTGGGATCGGCGCATTAGGAAGGCCGAGGAGCAAGATATGTCGCTCTATAGACTGAACCGGCAGTTAACTAGAACCAAACCTCCCGTTTGCCCGCTGATTAACAACGCAGGCAAACGCTGCTATGATGCCAAGGGCAGAGCGGATATCCTAGTCGAGCACTTCGAGGAGCAATTTATGCCGAACCCAGCAAGTGCGGAGTTCATGGAGCTTCATGCCAGGAAGGAAAGTCGCGTGCAGGAGTTCCTGTCGTCGCCCGCGCCGCCTCTTGCAGGAGAGTGGTTCATCTCCCCCGCTGAACTGCGGAGGACAGTAACCCGCCTGCAACCGAGGAAGGCGCCGGGGCACGACGGGATTACCAACGCTGCACTCCGACAGCTGCCCAATAGAGTCATAGTAGAGATTGGTCGACTCTACAATGGGATATTGCGGACATCCCACTTCCCGGAGATATGGAAAACAGGCAAAATTATCGTCTTGCCGAAACCCGGGAAGGACAGGCGTAGAGCTGCCAGCTACAGGCCGATCACGCTATTACCACACATAGCTAAACTGTTCGAAAGATTGCTGCTAAGACGTCTCCGACCGTGCATCCAACTTCGGGCGGAGCAGCACGGATTCAGGAGGGGTCACTCCACAGTCACACAATTGACTAGAGTGCTGCACCTGCTTGCGGCAGAGTACAATCGTGGCCGCATATCGTTGGGCGTCTTCCTCGATATCGAGAAGGCGTTCGACCGGGTGTGGCACATAGGACTACTATACAAGCTGAAAGAACAGACCAGTGTCCCTCTTGCTATGTTGCGGTTAATGGCGTCTTTCCTGGAAGACAGGAAGTTCTACGTCTGCGTAGAGGACGCCGAGTCCGCAACTAAAACCATCAGAGCCGGCGTTCCACAGGGCAGCTGTTTGTCACCAGTCCTGTACGCGGCTTATACTAACGACATACCTACACTGGCAGGCAGGCTTCAAGAGTGGGAGGACGACGTCGAGCTGGCGCTATACGCGGACGATAGCGCCTATTTCACCTCGTCCAGAAGAGCCCACATAGCCACTGCCAAGATGCAGCGTCTGCTGGACCTGCTGCCACCATGGCTGGATGAGTGGAGGATGGTCGTCAACGTTGGTAAGACGACCGCTCTGCTCACTCGCCGTCTCAGGAATTTACCACCTCCGCTGACCCTCAACGGCCAGGAGATTGCGTACCAGAAGGCCGTAACCTACCTTGGGTGCAAGATCGACAGGACGCTGCGCATGACCGCGCACGTCGACTTCGTCGTCCGCCGGGCCCGATGTGCGCGGGCAACGCTCTTGCCGGTACTTGCATCCAAGTTGCCTATAAACACCAAGCTCCGGATATACAAGATGTATATCCGGACCATCATCACGTATGCTGCTCCGGCCTGGTACGCACTTCTGAGCAACCCTCTGAGGCGGCGACTGCAGGCCCAGCAGAATCTGACATTAAGGACGATCGTCGGAGCAGGTCGCTACGTCCGGAATGACGTCATAGCGGCCGATCTGAAAGTCGAGACCATCACCGACTTCGTGGCCCGGTTAGCGCGCGGCATGTTTGACCGTGCCGATAACGGGCCACATGAACACCTGAACGGCTTTGCGCCGCTACACACCCGGCCACCGGACGGGCGACCTCTTCCAAGAGAACTCCTCTCTATATGTGATTAGAGAGTTGAGTAACAACCCACAATGCCGCTGAAAGGCCAACTCTGTCTATATTAGATAACCACTCTTTTTTCCGTAATTAGCCAATTACGGAAAAACCGGACTTACCATCACGCCTGAATAGGCAACAAGGACTGTCCCATAATAATGGGACATGAGGACACCCGGGTAATGGGGGCCACCCCGAGGCCCGATACCTGTATTGCATCTCGGTGCAATCAGACGACAATCAACGAATGGGTGAGCTCGTCTGGGGAATGACCACGCTCTCACATAATGCCAGCGTAAAATAGCAGCTTAATATTGCTGTGTTTCGTATGGTGATTTTAAAATGGATACGAAGCATTCCATCTTAAAAATTCAAGGGTGGAAACACATCTTTATTTTGATTCTTAGGATAAAGGATGATTGAGGATAAATGTAGATCTCTATGGGCCACTATATCCACTTGCCATCAGATGGACTGTGTGCTCGTTTGTCATCCTTATTCTACAAAAAATACTGCCAATGTCAAACATATAATAGTCTGTAGTCAAACAGTCGCATGAGTACAGATTGTAAAAAAGTATATCTATAAGTAGTGTGTACATTATGCATATTATACTGAGAGTTGAAAGTGAAATATAACTTATTGTGTATAAAACCTTCAAGATTTTATGGTAATGGTTGAATTTCGACCATTTGTCGACTACCAGTTAATCAGATCACATCAATATTCTTTTAAAGTTCACTGCTAGATGGGCATAGGCTTTTCCGAGAATGGGTCAGCTGTATTATTAATTATTATTATTATTATCTGTATTACTTAAAAACATACACAAATTCATACTCACCGTTAGGTTGGTGAGTGCAAAGCTGAGAGCTTTGTCTGTCAATCAGAAAAATGCACAAAGTACTGCTGAAGTTAGCAGTTGATAAAAACCTGATACATCTACACTAACACCACTAAACAACATGTAACAAAAACCCTGTGGTTCCCGTTAACTACGTTATCAGAATCAGTATCCAAGCATATAGAAGTAATTTAAAAAAAAAAAACATTTAAAAAATTAATTTTAATGAAAAAAGGTTAATTTGCAAATTGTATGTGATTTTATTATCTCTGCGTTGGCCGAGGAGTAAGAGGATTGTCAAAGACCCCGCATTATCGATACTTGTGTGAGATAGAGGAAATAAAACCACATATAATTTGCAAATTAATTTTTTTTTCATTAAAATTATTTTTTTTTATGTTTTTTAAAAAAATATTTCTATTTGCTTGGATACTGATTCTGGTAACACACTTAACGGGAACCACAGGGTTTTTGTTACATATTGTATAAACAAAAATCATGAGTTCGTGATTTACACATTATAGGTACGGCTATAAAGCACAAAGAACCAATAACTGACGTGGAGTAAAGGTTCTCGGGTGACAATCTCATACCGTAAAGTTCAGTTCAGTTGAAGCCCTAGTAGATGAATTGATGAATCATGCAGGCTTGCTTTGTAGCAGTTTATGAGGGCAGTAAACTTCTAATGTAATGTAAATGATGATGATAATAAACAGTGTTCTTTTTAAAAACACTATTTAGATATTCACTATTTGTAAACTTTAAATATGTGATCACTGACTTTTAACACTTTTATCAGTTTAAATTTCTATCACATTATCTTCCTAATGATCATTATATTCTGTGTGAGTACTTTGCTGTAATTGCCATGTTTAGTGCAGCACCAGACTTTTCGTACATTTGGTGCTCCATTACGTTGTCGGTTTTGGTACTTTACATCTAATATAAATATGAGACAGTTACGCCTCTCATCCAATAAAGACCAAAAAACGTATTAACATGTCCCATTCTACAATAACAATTAACAGTCATAGGGAGAGATAGATTTTCTTTTGCTCATACTGTATCTTATGGCAACAATATTATAATAGCCATATATTTCGTACCGAATAAAATGTTATTTTTTCGTCTGTGTTTTGATATAGGTAATATTAAATATATATTGTGGTATTGGTTTCTGCGGTAAATTTGTTTTTAAATCCAATACCTCGAATTTGTATCTTATGCTTTTATTAATTATTTTTCTAGGGATTTAACGATACATAGAATTTTATATGATAGGAGAATATTTATATTAAAAATTCAAAGTCAAAGTTTAGTCAAAGTCACTTAAGCTTATAAATACATGAACATTGAACATTTGTAAAAACTGGGATAGCACTATTTTTTATATAAAAACCGTTCTTTTTTAAATTATTTGGTAACGCTTTTTGGACCTGTATGTAAAGGGCATTCCTTAGAGTTGACAACTCATTTGTATTTTGATTCTTAATAAAAAAAAATATTTAGGAGCAGCAGCATCCGCTTACTATCAGGCAGATAGTTTGATAGTTTTTTTTTGTCTCAAGAGAAACCAATGTTTATGAAAGTTTAGTCAAGAATACTAAAACCTTTTATAAGTATTAAAAAAATACAAAATACAAAATAATTTATTACGGTAACTAAGCCTAATACAATTCCAAATACAATGGTAATTGGAACTTCCTTTTAAGCAAATAATATTCCTTTTAAGCAAATTATTTATTTGCATAGAATTAGGTAGATATTACAAGAGTATTATTAAAACATGAAAGTTCCTATACATTCTGCCTTGTCGAGGCGTGCAAATTTTGACTAATTAGATATAACAATTTTTTTTGATGAATTTAACTTATTTACAATGTTCATATGTAAAAACAGTAAAATTAACTAACTAATAATTATTCTATAACTATCGAAGTCCTTTATAAATTCACAGCACAAAAAATCAACCATTTTTGGATACAGATTTTTAAATATGTAATTTGTTTTGATTTTTGTGATCAAGATACTCATTAACAGTATAGAAACAATTAAGTAAAAGCCATTCATGAAGTTGGTATTTTAACTTTGTCATTGGGAAATTTTTAAACTCGTCGGGTAGGTTAAAGATTTTAATCGCCATTATATATGAATTTTTTTGGAAGAGCATCAATTAACATTTTGGAAAGTATATTCTGTTATTAGATTTTTCTCTTAAACTTCTATCTCTTAAAAAGTTATTACTTGGGAAGTATTCAGGGAATTGTTTGACAAAAATCGCCGCTTGTTTTATATACATACATGCGAGTGGCAGCACTTTTATTTCTTTAAATAGTGGTTTGCACGATGTAATGGAATGTGCTCCACAGATTGCTCGAATGTATTTTTTTGTGGATTTTAAATACGCGTTCTATTTCAGAACAGTTGCCCCATATTAGAAGTCCGTACTGCAATATCGATGAAACATAGCCATGATAGGCGTTTAACGCTGCTTTGGGCTAGGAAGCATCGCTCTTCCATAGCAAGGTTTCACAGTAGACTAAACGACAACAAACTAAATTCACGATTAGAGAGAGTAGAAGTTGCTTGGAATTTGTATATTCTTTTAAATACTTTGATTTCCAGTAACGAATAGGTGTTCACAAGATATGAAACCTGCATCAATTTATAATAATATATTTATTACTATATTATTTATTACTATATTACTATATTTACAGTGTTTTCTATATGTAAGCTCCCCTATCAATGGATATAAATATTCTATGTTTTAATTAAATATTAAAACAAAATACAAAGTTTGTCTTGCATTGTTTGCATGTGAATTGTTATTTATTGCACAAGAATTCTAATTATATTCTTTTCATTCTTCAAGTGTTAACTGTTGAATATCACTGTTCTTTAAGATTAACAAGTGGAATTAAATTGAATTTTATTTATATTATGTTTATTGTAAGGTCTGTGTAATTTGTGTTATGTTGCTGTCTGCAGTTATAAGACATTCTAAAATAATATTGATTGTGCACATAATATTACATAATATATATATAAGCCCCCGTTTATCAAATGGAGGGAGATTATAGTGCATTCCAATTGATAATGAATGTTATCAGTGTATATTTTTTATTAATGTGCTTGACCAATGATTATGTATAAATGGTTAATAAAATGGGGTTATAACGGCATGTTTGTCTGTTGTGCCGGTGCGGCGCGGCAGTGTTCCAAAGCGTCGCATACAGTGGTGAGTGGATCAATGCATGCAAAGCGCTAATTAGCTACATATTAAGCCTCCCACAAGGACACCGCACACTGCTTCGGAACCTCTAGTAACCGTTCGCATATCATATGGGTCGCGGAATTAAGGGCTTGGTTACGAACGGGTTAATATTTTCTTATACACAAAATTTACTAATGTGTGTCTTAGAAAAATTTATTTGGAAATACAAAAATATTTTATTTATTGATTGGTTTATTGCAATGAGTTTACTATGTAATCTTTACATTAATGACGTATAAATTATATTATACCAATGAGTATTAATGAGTTGATTCAAATTGAAAATTTAATCATAAATTTTTCTAATCTCTTTTAAGGCTAGTAGATGTTGCTTTATGTATCTACAAGGAATATTATTAACTTTATACAGTAATAGTTCACATTGGTGCGGTGTACGTAGTCCTTAAATCGTAGACAGAGGCTGGGGGAACCAACGCACTCAAACTATCGGCTCTAGAGTTCACAGATCCACTCCATGATATTGACGTGTTGGAGGCTCATACTTCGTGCTTTTAGCGCTCTACACAGCTTTGCTCTAAACACTATGACATCGTTTCTTAACTTTCAGCTTGTTCATTCTCGTGCTACAGAAATGTTAATAGGCTTACGCCGCTTAATTTTGTCTTTTAATAGAAACGGAATTCCGCATAGTTATCACACGAGATGATGGATGTTATTAGCGCTTCATTACGATCATTCGCCCTTGCTGTATCGTGTTAATTTGGCGGTCATCGCCGATAGAAGCACATGTACACGATAGTGGCGTCTTTGTTGTTAGTGTACGATTTTTCCACTAATAGTACAGACTAGTCTTACGCGTGAGATTTGGTTTTGTGCAATATAATTTGATGTGTGCAGTTATGGCATATATGGAGATGTTTGGGAACTGCAGCCACCCGCCGAACAGTGTCGCCGCTCCGCCCGATATGTTTCGGCATTCGATTCATACTTACAACTTAGCCAGGTAATTGGTTATTTAATAGAAATTATTATTTATGTATAACCTAAAATCGATACTAACTTTTGTTTTATTGGAATAAATTTCTGTATTTATATTTCGTATAAGTACATATTATTTTCCTTTTGAAGTGCATAATTATTTCAGTACATTTTTAATGTTTATATTTACCGTGGAAAATTAAGTGAAATTTTTATTAAGATATATATCTTACAAATGTTTATAAACATATTGATGCATTAATTTTAAATGTATTAGACTCAATAAAATATATGTAGAAATCTATTTACCTTAAGGTTGTGGATCGATAGTGCCTTGTATCACAATATATAATTAACATTGAATTTATCTATAGAGTTTGTTTCCAGTGGCCAACACACTGCGGGCGGCACCGTAAACGTACAACGTCATCAACAAGTGCAGCGATCCATTGCTCAATCCTTCACAGTTCAGCATTTTGGTACTGCTCCTCCTCTCAGGTGTGACTTATTATCATAAATTAAATTGAAGACTTCCTCTTCTTTTTCCTTTCATGCCAAAAAAATCTGGATAAGTTTAGCCTATATACATATAGGCGACTGCATATGACTTCCGTATCGCATGAAAGCTCCACAATCCTAAGTTTAACTTTTCAATGGGCACACGGTCGGGTCCGACCAAGGCGATGTTCCGTCGAATTTCAAGCACCCACCCACAGCACTTTAACCCATATATATATATATATACATATATATATATATATATATACATATATATATATATATATATATATATATATATATATATATATATATATATATATATATTTAGAGACTACTTCTCTATGAAGAAGTTTGGCATTATAGAATCTATACGAAATTTTCTATCCTGTGGTCTAAACAAAAGTCAGTTACTCTATGTATTTTTATTTTTATTATACTGTTAATTTAGAACATTTGTCGACCATACGAAAATGGCGCCATTTTACGGTAGATTAAAAAAAAAAATCCATAGTAACTGATTTTTTTAGACCACAGGATGGAGAATTTTGTAAAAAATAATGCCAACCTTCTTTATAGAAAAGTCTTTATAAATATAAGTTATTATGGGTTAAAGTGCTGTGTTTTATGGTTTAATATGTCTTAAATTAACAGTAGAATAAACATGAAAATACATAGAGTAACTGACTTTTGTTTAGACCACAGGATAGATAATTTTGTATTAATTCTTTAATGCCAAACTTCTTCATAGAAAAGTAGTCTCTAAATATAAGTTTTAATGGTTTAAAGTGCTGTGGGTGGTTGCGGTCGCATGCGACCGCTCGGGATTTGACGGACGCATGCGACTGCATGGAAATTTTATGAGGATTGAAGGGTTAATCTTCAGTTCATATTTATAAATTATTAAAAATAGAATTGAAATCAACCATAATTTTAAAAAACTATTTTAAACCATAACACAATTATTTAATGCTATAAAATTTCTGGCTTAGAAAGTTTGAAAAGTTCATGGCTATCTCTGATTGTGTAATTTGCCACTACCTAAATGTTTCAGTTTCGCTAAAAAGACTAAAATCTACATAAGTTTAATATTATGATAAAATAATTACAAAAACTAGTATGATACTCTTATACATTTAATAGTTTTGGGGTTCTCAATAATTTATTTCTCAATGAATAGATGTCATTACTAGTTTTATATTATTTTTTGAGAGTGAATTAAGAACAATATTATAAAAAAGGCAGTTACAAGGCATTGCTTTCAGAGTAAATTTCAAAACTGAAATAAATTGATGTATATTTTCCATCATTGAAAATTACATAATTATAATATTCAAAATGTTATTATAGTGGTTCAGACGAGAGCATGATAAAAACTTCGACCGGAACCAGTCCCGTACCACATGAACCACCGGCGCTGCCACCAAAAATGAACAAAAACAAACAGGTGACTAATTCAAATCCAGTAAATTTTAATCCATTTCTATTCTATTATTGTTTTTATATTGTATTATTTAAAATGGGCTTGAAAAAATTATGTAAATAATATTTTAACGCTATAACGTGGGTTGTAATTCATAAAATAATACTTTTTAAATTCAGGTCTCAGTGAACTCGAGCAATGAACTATTACCTCCGCCATCACCGCGGCCTTCCTCACACAACAGTTCTACCGACGAGTCACTTATGAACAATGTGGTAATTACTATAATTTTTGCCTTACTTCATGATTAATAGAATGAAAAAAAAACATAACATTTCGTTTGTTATACATAGGTAATGAATATTTCTACCGATTCTTTATTCTTTGATTCTACTACATAGTCATGAATTCATAGATGGTAACATTTATAATCTGTCATGGTTACATATAACATGGAAGCATAATAAGCAATGTTATTACGATTTATTCCGGACATATCGATATTGTGGACTATATATAACATGTAACAAAAACCCTGTGGTTCCCGTTAACTGCGTTATCAGAATCAGTATCCAAGCATATGGAAATAATTTTTTTTTTCAAAAAAACGCATTAACAAAAATTAATTTTCATGAATAAAAAATTTATTTGCAAATTTTATGTGGTTTTATTATCTCTGCATTGGCCGAGGAGTTAGAGGATTGTCAAAGACCCCGCATTACCGATACTCGTGTGAGTTAGAGGAAATAAAACCACATACAATTTGCAAATTAATTTTTTTCTACATTAAAATTAATTGTTTTAAATGCGTTTTTTTGAAAAAAAAAATTATTTCTATACGCTTGGCTACTGATTATGATAACATACTTAACGGGAACCACAGCGTTTTTGTTTCATAATGTATAATAATTTTTAAAACCTGCTAGGAAGGGGTGCGTATAGCCAAAGACCTGGCTAAGTGGCGCGCCGCGGCAGAGGCCTATATCCAGCAGTAGACTGTCGAAGGCTGATGATGATTGATGATACTTTTGTTTCAAATTTTTATATTTTATTCCAAAGAAGTAAGCTTATTTCATCCCGTTAGGCGTACATTACACGCTCATGCAGGCTATCAGTTTTACAACAATCACGTTTGTGATTGACGAATAACCTACCGTGTAATGCAGTGATTGACGCCTGCATGACCGTGTAGTGTAAGCCTATCAGTCACCATCCGTTTTTTATCAATCATGATTGATGTAATTGATTGACGCCTGCATGAGCGTGTAATGTACGCCTTAAAGTCCATTGCTTGGCCTGTCCCGTTGTAGGGAGGGTTTGCCCTATTCGTTACACTTGGTAGATCCCCATCGCTGGTCAGGATATCTACGTCTGCCGTCTGACGTAAACAAGATGTTTATATGCTACCTATCGGAAGCTGCAGGATTTTCAAGGTATACTTGAAGAAGATTTTATTTATTACGCATATTCAGCGTTATTATATATTTCGTTTCAGAGTTCAGACGATTTATACCTGTGTCCGTCGTCACCGGGCAAATTTCCCCTCGAAGATGAGTTGGAGAATATGGTGCAGCAGCCAATGCCTTCTCCAGTACCTTCTCAGGCAAGTATAAAATAAAAAAATCGTAGTTTTGCAAACTAGTATATTATACACCAACTTTAATTATTATATTTATATAGCGATCTGCCCGGGCTTCACACTGTTGTTACTGGATTTCGACAACAGCGCCATCTATCGGAATCCAAATCCAAATGTGAATCTTGACCATCTAGGGATTCTTTCAAGCACGCACAAAAAATTCAATTATGTTTTTTTTTGTTTTCTACACCATGTTTGCACAATCATCTTTTGTAAGCTTTTAAGTGTCTTTTTATAAAATATTATATATACTAGCTTGCCAGGTAGACGTTGTTCTGACGACCTCCTCCTCTCTCCTTTTCGACGATCCTTTGTCATGTCCTATGAAAAATCCTTTAATTCGCAAAAAAAATGTGGGTGACTCATGGACAAAAAAACTATCCTATCTCTCAAGTTGGACCAAACTACACACGGTGTGCAAATTTGATTAAAATCGGTTAAGTAGTTTAGGAATCAATTGAGGACAAACTATGTGACACTTAATTTATATATATTAGGATTTTAAAAAAGAGTTTTTGAGTAGCTAAAATGGTATAACTATTCGATAATGCCGAACACAAATAAAAATTTGTTATTGAGAGGCAGCATTGGTTTTCTGTGATGTTGGTCCTGTTAGCCTCTTACAGCTTCATCTGCCTCAAAGATGATTAAGGCCGCGACCTTATTACAGTTGAAGGACAGCATACTAATTCGAGAATCCAGCGTTTTATGTGTGAAAATTTATTTGTAAACTTATTTGTTGGTCTTGTAGTAGTACGACTGCTTAACATGAGGTCCCGAGTTCTATACCCGAGGCGGGTCAAAAATATCAGTTATTGAGTTTTCCATTAAGAAATTCTCAGCAGCTGTCCGGAGACAGGATGTTGGCGGTGTCTCACCCCCGTGCCTCGGAAAGTACGTAAAGCCGTTGGCCCTGCGCCTGATCTCTCTCCGGTCGTGTTGGTTTACCATCCCATCGGATTATGAAAGTGAGGGAATAGAGAGTGCACCTGTGCTTGCACATACACTTGGCCACTATAATTCTGTCCTGCGCCGATTGCTAGTCTCCGTTGTGACTGGCCGTAATTCGGTTTCGAGGACATTGTCTTATTATAGTATATTTTATTTTATTAGTAAAGTGTAGAGTAAAGGTGGTGGCGCGTTAAATATATGTTTTATAAATGTTTTCGGCGATTGGGGTGTCGGATTCGATTCCCGGGTCGAGCCTTTTGCTTATTGTGCTTGATCAATTTGTTGGACTGTATGTGCGGGTTCTTGCAACCAAAACAAGATGGCCGACGTGGCACGCGGCAGCCTTGGACGATGCACTATCGCTATTCCAAAATCTACTGTTTTGCTAGTGTCTCGAAGGAGTTTATACTTGAACCGTTAAGGTAGCGAAATGTGACAAGGAAATAAAACGGCTCAAGTTAAATTAAAAGGAAGCACTTACCGGGGTGGGGTTCCGTGCCGCCTCGTGGTCGACTATTCTGGTCTTGTAGTGCGTTGGAAGAGGGCCCTCGACGGCAGCGGGCGCTCCTTTATGTGTCGGCCATTTTACCAACTCCATCTCGGCGGAGTGCGTTTTCATTGGCCGAAAATCGCGTCACATTCTAGACCCCCCTCCCTTTCAGTGTGTGAGGAATGGACTGCATGGGTGGGACGGAGAGACACTGACAAACAATAACCAACCGAACGTAATGTGAGAATACCCGTTTCCTTTTCTTCCGCGCAACCAAAGGAGATTCCATTACATCATTTTGTCTCGTGGGTGTAGTAAGAAGCAACAATGTGAGACCTTATGGATATTAATCAATGACCATTGACGGAAAGGTGCAAGAAATTTGTCCACGTGATCCAATGCGCTTACTAAACATGGCAACTACGGCGAATCCTTGCTACAGTGACAGATTCCTATGTCTAGCAGTGGTTAGGATACATAAGTGGTACGGTGTAACAGTTATAGACAAAGAGAGTATAGCCATTTTCTAGCTCTAATCTGGAGCTAATTCCTACTAAGTACACACTCACTAGTTCAGGCCTAGGGGACAATGTTATGGAATTCGAGTGGGCGGGACAATATAGCGGGGTGTTTGCGACAAACTAGCAGTTTGACTCGAGCCCTGCAATTACTTATAATACTCGTATTTGTCATAATAAAACAAAAAAACTTACCAATATAAAGCTATAGTAATTTTTTTATAGCTAGATACCTTATTGGATTTCTCATACCATCTTAACTAACAGAAGTGTATATTGATGGTATAATTGCTCAGAAATGTTTTAAGAAGTGACTGATTTTAAATTCCGGAACAATATCTCTCAAAGTCTCGGTTGTTACTATAATAATGAACTCGTATCGCGGTCTTACATAGCCTCAAAAGCGCCTTTGCGCGGTGATTGTTGTTGTTGATGTATGTGCATTGTGCAGTCAGTTAACTTTACAGTCTTTGGTGATAGAAAAGACACTTAAAAATGTATAATATATGAAAATCGTTTGAATACTAAAAACTATAGCCTCAAAAAACTTTTTTCCCACAGAGGAGCGTAAGCAGTAGCGAGCCAACAGTCGCAACAGTGGAATCCACCACTACAACGCCAGCTGACTCTGAGGACATCATTTTACAAACCGATATCAGTCAGTGGCTGTTACTAAAGACACCTGCCAAAGATGGGCCTGAAGTGCGGGGCGGACATCCTGACGCACTTATCGTGCTTGCCACAAAAGCTACCAAAGGTAAATTTTGCTTTAATTTAATTTTAAAGGTACATTTTCTTTTTTTTTCTATTTCTTGAATCTTGGTTAGAACTGTAACTGACTGTAGTATTTATTTTTCAACTGTGATCTAACAACTTATAGATAGAAATCATTGATTAGAAACTTATTGATTAATTGTGATACCAGATATATAAATATTGAATAATAGCTATAAAAATTTGAATGCATTATATGCAGTGTATTAATTAATTGTTTACATGGTATATTATATAAAGTTAATAAAAACATTCATGAAAAAACATTTCTTTGACTACTATCATATAGCATGTTTCTACATCGTATAACTTGTATTCATTGTTCCTATTTTCTTTACTGGGCTTAATTGGATGAATTAGAATGTAGTAGTAACAAAAATAAAATAAAGGTCATCTATTCTTCCGAGTTTATCTATTTTGGGTTTAACCTTATCATATTACACAATAAACAATTTTCCAAAAAGTAAACTTCGCTGCTAACTTTGTAACTTTCATGCTTTCACTTTACAGAAACGGACGAGTGTAAGTGGTTGGCCTCATTGTATGTCTTGGGACTGAAAACTGGTTTTCACTAATATTTTTCAAAGCTTGGCCAATGTTGCTGAATGCCGTCAATTAAATCAGCACTTTGTTTTTATTTCTCTGTTTACCACATCATGGCTTCATCGATTTCTGAATGCATTGCGTCGCACGATCTAATATTGTTTAAGCATGAAACATGTTAGTTTTATAGTGAATTTAATAAATAATATGTAAAAGAAATATATTATTTATTTGAAATTAATAGTCTACAATAATCTTATGGTTTTGAGCATTGCACGAAATACTCCCATGTTTTTAAGCTTTGGCTATTGTGCCAATATTATTTTTAAAATAGAAATAGCAAAAAGTATATAGCTTTCACTCGGCATATTTTTACACTTAACCCCCCTGTGTTGTAAGTAACGGAAAACTTAATTATGTTAATTTGTGATGGCTGTTTATTTCATTTTAATACTCATCACAGTTATATAAACATTTAAAAAGCAATATAATAATATAAAAATGAAACAAGATCTTTCATTAATTGTTACTAGAAATCAGGATGTATAATTTCTGTCCACTTACATCACACGGGTGGTATTAGCTTGTTGTGTTATATGCTGCTTATGACGCAGAATCGTGTTTTTTATTCTAAATGTAAATTGTACAGCATTGCTATGATCGTCTTTGATTAAAACTCACAAAATAGGTTAATAATAATCCATATATATGTTTTTAACTAAAATTAGGTAATTCGAATAAAGTAGACTTTTGACGTTTTAACTAACTCAGGCTTATATAAAGTACAATTTACATTTGGGTGGTAGGTTAATGATATTTTTTTAAATAAATCAAGTTCAAAACAAATTTTGACACTTGACAGCATTTTAGAAAATAACCACAAGAATGTAGCATTACTCTTAATGTCCCTATTAAAGACGTTAACAAAGCAAAGCCCGCGGCCGTATTAAAAGTACAAAATGTGATGCACGTCGTTGGACGTTATGTAAACGAAAGCAAAACAAAGATAAGACGTAATATTCTGTTATACGATTTTATCCAATAGCCAAAAATATTTTTTTTTCACAATAGCTCCTTTAGAATTAGTATCTTTTTATTTTTTTTTTTTTATAGAAGAGGGGGCAAACGAGCACGCGGCTCACCTGATGTTAAGTGACTACCGCCGCCCATGATCAAACGCAACACCAGGGGAATTGCAGGTGCGTTGCCGGCCCTTTAGAAAGGAGTAAGCTCTTTTCTTGAAGGTCCGTGGTCGTATCGGTTCGGAAAAATCGCCGGTGGTTAACTATTCCACAGAGAGGTTGTACGCGGAAGAAAACGCCTTTTGAAACATACAGTGGTGGACCGCCAAGCATCCAGATGGTGTGGATGGTATCGGGACGTTTGCCGCGTAATGCGTTCACGAAATTTTGCGGCTGGGATTAATCCGAACAATTCCTTAGAGCACTCTCCATGGTATATGCGAAAGAAAATGCAAAGAGATGCAACATCTCTTCGCAGTGCCAGTGAATCCAGCCGATCGGAAAGCACTCGGTCGTCGACGATTCGAGCCGCTCTGCGCTGGATGCGGTCCAGTGGAAGGAGCTGGTACTGGGGAGCCCCAGCCCAGAGATGGGAACAGTATTCTATGTGCGGCCGAACCTGCGCCTTGTAAAGTTGCAGGCGGTGTGCCGGCATGAAATACTGTCCCGCTCTGCTGAGCACGCCAAGCTTTTTTTGGTAGAGAAGGAAGAGAGGCCAATTTGGCCTTCTCTTCCTTCTCTACCAAGTGACCACGAAACTGCACGTCACTCGATATGTCGACGCCGAGGATTTCGATACTGGCTGAGGCAACAAGGGGAGTGCCTTGAAACTGAGGAGATACGACAAAGGGGTTCTTTTTAGCGGTTAACGCACAAACTTGTGTCTTCTGGGGGTTAAACTGGACTAGATTTAGTCGTCCCCAATCCAGCAAGTTCAGCAAAGACTCGACTTCACAAGTTTGTCCCGGCACTCGGAGACGTTTTCGCGAGAAATATTGACTCGGCCGGTGTAAAGAGCATCACCAGTGCTGTCATCTGCATAGCAATGAATGTTACGGGTTTGCAACTATCATTGATATGCAGAAGAAACGCGTTGGCGATAGCACGCAGCCTTGTGGAACACCAGCATTAATAGGCTTGCAATCGGAGCTTGCACCGTCTACAACGACCTTGATGCTCCGATCTGCAAGAAAGCTGGTGATCCAATCGCACAATTTCTCGGGAAGCCCATAGGAAAGGAACTTCGAAAGAAGCACTTTGTGCCAAACCCGATCGAAGGCCTTCGCAATGTCCAAACTATCGGCCAATGCCTCCCCCTTGGACTCTGCTGCCTCCGCCCATCTGTGAGTTAGGTGGACCAGAAGATCACCAGCTGACCGACCACCACGGCGAAAACCGTATTGGCGGTCACTAATCAGCTGGTGATCCTCAAGGTACCTCATGAGCTGGCAGTTTACAATGGACTCCACTGTTTTGGAGAACAAGGAGGTCATGGCGATAGGCCGGTAGTTGGACGCGTCTGAGCGGTCGCCTTTTTTAGTCTTATCTTGTCGTATCGCCATTCAGTTACTTTGTATGATATAACATAATATTTAGTTACATTTACGTCCACGATTGGCATAGTTCATAGTTTCATATATTTTAGTGTTTGATGATATGGAAACATTACCGTCGAAAACTAGTGCTAAGGGCATAGATGCAGAAATAAAAAGTACGAGATTTAAGACTAGTAGAATAGGAGGCCATGTCAATTTTAAAATGATTTGTTATGGACTTGATTATTTTGAATAAATTACATGTTACTCAGAATTTTTACAGGGTAGTAGACATTTATGCCAATTTATCTTCCTCTTACCAGATGATGTTAGATAAGACTGATGTGAAGTTATTTGTTACACAATATCATTCTAATTGAGAAATTGCGTTTTAAGTTGCTTGAGTATTTTTATGCAAAAAATGCCTCAGTTGTTTGCTATTTAATTTATAGTATATTTTAAATTTTTCTACATTTTTTATTTTGAAGAATATTCGTAGTTTATCTGTTTAGGAATTAATATAATACGTAACAAATATTCGAGAAAGGAATATTAGCTCAAACATTTTTCTAATAAATTAGCTTTTGTTGTCATCAAATCTGGAAAATATTTCACATCATCTCTAAGTGCGCTGTCCAGGTTATTGCGGGGCGGTTATTGAAATAGTCTTCATGAACTGACAAAGGGAAATTTTTATTTACAAACTGTATGAACATACCAGTAAATGATCTCATATTAAAAAGAAATTTTATATTTTCAATTAATAAAAATATAAACAGGAGAGCAATAGAATGAATATGATGTAGTAATTAGTTAACAATAATGTCTACTACCCAATCGCGTGAGCGTGGGGGTGGGGTGCAGCGGGTGCAGGGCGGGCAGTGTAGGCGGTGTGTTGTGCGCAGACTTCGCGTACCAGGAGGCGTTCCTGGCGACGTACCGTACGTGGGTGGCGCCGCGCGCGCTTGTGGCGCGGCTGGCGCGGCGTGCGCACCACCTGCGCGCGCGCACGCATGACCTGCGCTCCACGCTCGCGCTGCTCACGCGCATCGTCGCCGACCTCACGTCAGTACCACACCACATTCATTCATTCATTCATTCATACAGCCCTTCGCAAGTCCTCTGCTGAACATGAGCCTCCTCCAAGAAATGCCACAAAGCACGATTCTGTGCTCCCTGCTTCCGTTGACTTCTTGTATGTCTTGCGACGTCGTCAATCCATCTAATGGTTCCACCATTAGATTCATTATTCTTATTGTCTCTTTGAACCATCTTGTGCAGAAATGATTAATCCACTTATTAACCACAAATTTTGGTTTATTTATTTACTATAAAATATACTTTTGATTATTATCTGTTAATTTTTTATCTTCCATCGACATTAGTTTAAAATTTGAAAAAAAAAACATACTTTGAAAAAAAAATAACATTTCTAAATAATAATGTACCAAAAGGAGGTATATTTGACTTTATTTTGTGGGAAATAATAAATTTAATTATAATGACTTAGGACCGATTTTTCAATAGACAAACTAAAGTCATCCACCCATTGACTTATATATTACTAGCGTAAGGACCGGGCCGACCGAACAACTAAAACGGACCAGTGCGCTGGCCCTAAAATTACAGTTTAGGGCCAACGCGAATCGGTCGACAGTAGTGCGCGCGCAGGACAGATTTGCCTGTCATAAATATGTCTAGTTGCGTGGTAAAAGAATGCAAAAATTACAATACAAAGATTAAAAAAACATGGGATATCGTATCATCGGTAAATAATCTTATATTAATTTTGTTACAATTAAATTATTATATAAACGCATCTTTAAAGTTTTATTTTACAGTTAGTTTAGTTACATTACCAAGATTAGGCCAGGGTTGGATTCAGACCCTCAAAAATATTGTACATGGAAAATAAAATTATACTATTTTTTGTTTGACGTTTTTCATGTTTCTTTTTTCCAATGTGCCGGGATTTTGGCGTCACGCGTCTAGTTTATCTATACGTTTCGTTTTGACGGTTTTTTATGTCTGTAATATTTTTGTCTAAAGAACTTAGTGTAAGTTAAATTTTAAATATTTGTACCTAATATATTTTATATTCAATAAGGGTAAAACGAAAAGAGTACAAAAAAAAAACCATATCTGCTTAATTGAATCTGAAAATCTGATCCATAAAATATTTTGAAATTCTGTTTTCAATCCGATTGCTTCTGGAGTATATAGTTTTTATCGTTGTAACCACTAATTATAGTTGTATCAAGGATGCAACATAAATGCACCGATCGAGCATCGATTGACCAGAAATGGAGCTAATTCTAATTTTATTAAAAAACGCGGTACTCATGTACAATACAGAAATTCTCCATATTGTAGAATTAATATTAAAATGTAAAAAGATCCAATAATAATACAAGTTGACCTTTAGGAAAAATTAAGGTATTTTCGCTTAGTATTATTACGATACATACTATGTATACTATACGAAATCCGACGCTGGTTACGTCGTGTTTAATATGACGTTTGTATTATGACAGATATTTAGATGGGCCTATCCCTCCTTTTGAAATCATTGCATCCACCAACTAAAATTATAAACTGATTAAATATACAAGTGTACCAATTGAACTATTATTGTAACAACTGTTATTTGTAATTTTTTATACTGTATTTTATCCTATGAATAATTTTAATCGAACGATTGAAAAAATGAGCTCTTAGAGAAATAATCTTATTCTGCGTAAATAGCTAGTAACACTAGCCACCGTGACTAAATACACAAACGATGACAAATAACGTTCTAGAAGACTTACATTAATTAATTGTATACTGAATTTTACATTTTCACACAGGATGGCCGATTTGGATCGTCCATTAATGCAAGAGATAATGGAGTTCATCTATTGGCTAGTCGACGCTGAAGAATTGCCTATAGCGAAGGCATTAAGACAAATACTCGTTGATAAACAGAAGCAGTTGCATTTCCAACAAGTAAGCATATCAATTTTTAATAACGCTTGTTTAAGGTTTTGTTACTTTTTAAATGGATTTAACAGAATAAGCAACAATAAATATTATATAAAATGATTTTTATAATCATCAAAAGGCCAATAGTTATCATAGTTTTTCTAGATGGTTAAATAATCCCGAAAATGCCTATTCACTTTTTGGTGTGAAAAGTTTTAATTAATAGTGGTAACGAAAAAAGACGTATTCCAATGACTCGCTGTGCGCACCAAAAACGATGAAGCTAAATGTTGCCACGTCCACGACTTGTAAAAGATCCAACTGCACGTCGAGCCGTTCAATGGTAAAATGGGGATGACGTAACTAGACAGAGCTACTAGTTAAACATTTTTTACATTCAACATATTCTTTGTCAGCCTTTACGCTTCGCATACACTAAATCCGTCATCGGGCGAAGTTTGCAGGGGCGATAATGGCCGAACTCGGACGGTCGAATCAAACACTTGTAAAACAAAGAGAGCGAGTACACATACACGACCGTCATCGTCCGATAACGCTTGAAAACGGCAGATCAACCGTCGAATCCGAACTTGTTAGGATTTCCCGCCAGACTGCAGGCGTCTACAGTGCAAATTGAGTGTATTTATAGTTTAATTTATCATTTTGTCTTTATTCTGTTGTTTCTGTCAGTGTTGTTATCTACCTAAACGACTATGGATATTGAAAATAGAAAAATAGAAAAGAATACCGGCAACGTTCAATGTCGGCACACAAGTGGCACACTGTTGCAGTGTAAGCACATACACGTCCGAGTTACTCGTCCGGGTATTTCTGTCCGCCATTGGCCGACGAAATCGGTTTTGGTGTACACGTACCGTTAGAATTCACTTCCGAGTATTTCAATTAGAATTCAGTTCCGAGAATTCACAACGGAAGTGACAAAAGGACTTACAGTCCACTATATGGTAAGTGGCTACTGGAGTCCCATGGACACCTACCGTATGCGACAGGTCGACATGGCAATTTTCTAGTGGTGTGACATCACATACTAGGTAGTAGATAATTTTTTCGCAACGCAACAAAATAAAACTAAAATAAAATAAATAAAGTTTATTATAAGTTAAATGAAACTTTTTTATTATAATATTTTGTTTATCAAAATCAATATCAACTGAACTCATACTACCATTGCTACAAGTACTTAGTGACTTTTCTTCACTAGTTTCTTCGACTTCTATGATAAAATCTTCCATTATATATTTCATCCTATATCCTTTTCCCAGTATTCATTCTCAACCTTCTGAACATGTTTTTTGAAACTTGCCCGGTTCCTCTGTAACTGTCGAAGTTGCATTTGTTTTATCTCGCTCGTTAAATCGCTCTTTATGTTGTGTTCCCTTACGGAGCGTTTAATAGCGGCCCAGGCTAATTCAATAGGATTTAAAACGTATATATTTATATAGAGGTAGTCTTATAATGTCATGGCCATGTCCTTTAATTATATTGTCAATTTTATAATTGATATCATCGGGTTTGTATTGTTCTATACTTTCAAATAAATTTGGTTTTCTCATTGATCTGTCGCAAGAAATGTTATTGTCTGCCAACCATTTTGTCATTGCAGATTTTAGCGAACTTTTATTTTTACTTTAACTTTTAGGGCTCACTTAGCTAGCTGGACACCATGGTAAGGTGCGTTGTCTATTACGACGACACTGTGATCAGAAAGTGAAAGTAAAAGCTTTTTAACTACCCATTTCTCAAAATTCTCGAAATTCATTAGTCCATGATAGTCGCCGGTAGCACTGCCGGCCTTAAATATCAACGAAGCCCCCAGTAGAAATTCGTTTTTGCCTCCTGCGCTAACTACTATAAGTAGTAATTCCAGAACTAGTATTTGTGAGAATTACTTTTGATCCAGTCATTTGCCAACACTTTTTGAAAGTTAAATTATTTTCCATTTTTTTTTTTTTTACTTTTTTTCCCTTTTTTTTTTTTTTTTTGCTCTTGTTCAAATTTTTGGCCTATCTTCTTTCGTTTTGTGGGCGATTTTAATTGTTTATCGGGTCCTGCAAGTTTTGATTCGGATTTTATTCTGGACAAAGTTCTTTCCTATAAGCCTGTGTAAAACGCAGCCCTATTTAAGGTTTGATTGACAGGGTATTTATAGTAATTGTTTTTCTCTTCAATGTCACAATTTTCTAGGCTAGTTCTAGTGCTTGAGAATGAATTATTGTTTTTTTTTGCGACCGAAGTCATTTCAATACAGAGCAGCAAAAAACAATGTGAGAGAGATCGAAATCGTTGAACGCGGTTGATGCGGACTTGTGCAGTGCTAAATCTAAGGTGGCGCGGGCGATATGCGAGTATGCGGGGTGACCCGTCCCCCGCGCCTCAGTTCATACCTCGATTGCCATGTCGACCTGTCGTGTACTGTACAACCAACTTCATACAAAAGAGGTCACTGATGCGTCGTCACCTCCGAGGACTATGATGGAGGATCTCACAGCCTGGAATTGTATGGCCTTTAAACTAAAACAGTAGTGCTATTTGGTGGCAGAAGTAGATAAGATGGTGGCTTCTAGGCAGAAAAAAAACTACTAGTATTCTGCACTTAAGGTGAAACCTACGGACTGCTCCCATCCATTCTCCCGCTAGATGGCGCTGAAGTCAACATTTTTAGTTTATTTGGTTTTTTGTGTAATTAGAAAATTATTAAGTCGTAGGAGTAGACTTTGCGGCTATCGGATATTACATTTTATTGGAATGGGTCATATCATTGCCTCAAAATCCACCCAATTCGACACTAATTTTGATTATAACATCTGTAATTGAATATAGTGTCGCTTACACACACAGACGTATCCCTACGTTTACGAAGCTAAAACACTAGATGGCGTGTATGTATAAAACAAGTTTTTAATTTTTCTGTATGTGTAGATTGGGTAGGCAGAACTACAAAACGCTATGTACGATTGTTATAAAAATAAAAGTTATATTTGTTGGCGTAAACTATTTAATTGATTTATAACTTTGGGAAATAAATTATGTCAACATTGATTACAATATAACGCAGTTTTATTTTATTACATTACACTATTAAATTTTTTTATCAAAATAGAAGTACCTACTTGAAGCAACATAATTATGCTGATGCATGCCTATTCATTAAAAACTAATAACACTGATGATTTGTAACAGTACCAATTATTACAATAATTAGACATTTCATAACCAACACGTAAGAAACTATAATTCATAAATAAGAGATAAAAAGAAATCTATAACACGATTTATTTTGTGATAATAACCGGGAAGTTTGAAAATAATATTTCCTAATTTCGAAGCACTCAACGAAAGCTTTTAGTAAAACAAAAATATAAATCCTATACCTACGAGCAATTCTTGTTTAAATATATATAATCGGAATCTCGGAAATGGCGACGGTGAACGTGAACGTGAAACGGTGTTCAGGGGTTTTTGGGGGCAATAAATCGATCTAGCTAGGATTCATTTTTAGAAAATGTCGTTTTGTCCGTGTTTTCAGGCAATGAAAAACTGCTACAATATAAGAAGGTAAATTTTGACACTATATTAATGATCGTAATAGCTCAAGTGGATAGCGCACTGTCGCGAAGTCGTAGTGCCCTTGTTCGCGTCTTGTCTTAGGTTTGACTTTTCCCCTTTTATTTCAAGTTCCCTTCTTTTGTGAGAAAATCTATTATTTCGAACCCTTTTTTTAGTAGGTATTTTGTTAAAAATACGAAAATTTTATTGCACTCATGATTTTTCATTATAATAACCAGTTCAGTTTTTTCTATGTCGGTAAGATCAAAAAATATTCTTCATATTTAATCAGTATGTAATTTTTATCTAAATATAACTTCCAAAACACACGATTTCCAAAAAAAAAAAGCCGTATAATACAATATATATACAAATCTTCCTTCAATTCTATATGAATTGGGTTGCGTTCGGAACACAAGATCTAGAACACTAAAATGTACAAAAATTTACTTATCTTTTTATTTCGATGTTATCTTTATATTCCTGGTAGAATTGGCCGACGAATAAGAAAAATATAACTCAGATTAGAGTAAGCAATAAAGCACGGAACAGAAAAAAGGATTTTATGTAACTGAATTATATTTGTTTCTGAATGCACCATAACCATGAACTAGAGCTCTACAAAATATAACAAACTAATAATGTGTGTCTGTCTGAAACTGTTTGCAAAATGCGTAAAAAGTGTTTAATGTAACACGGCAAAACCATATTTAGTAAATGTTTGCAAGTTTAATTTTGTGACTACTTTGGTAGTTTACCGATTTATAATAATTGTATTTATTGTTGACCAAAAACATATTCAAACACATTCATATATGAAACACTGACACGTATGACGTAAGTAATACCACCGAAAACATAATTGCGTTTTTAGAATAATTAATTACTATACCTACGATAAATTACAATATAGTCTCAAATATATACTAGAGAAATATTGCAATTCGAATCAATGAAAACATGCATACAAAATATGTATAATACACAAAATACACAAGAAATTCCGCGCGATTTAACGATTTTATAACGAGTCAAACAAGTGAACGAAGTTTGGCAACGCTTTTTTTCGTCAATTCAAGGTCAGGAAGGACGACATCATCGCTCTACCTACGACTTTTGGTATTTATGTTGCCACACAACAATAATAAGTAATAAAATTGTTTACAAAAAAACAAGGTGTCTAAGGTCATTTGTTTTATGTTATTTTATACTGTTTTTTTAACGGTTGGAAAGGAAATTAACCAATTATTGAACTTAAGATATTGATTTATCAGAATTATTTAAGATCACTTGCATGCCATCTAGTGTGCCAATGTTTAAACGTTGCCTTTCGTTTCGTTTGCTTTGTCAAAAGTCACGCACACTACTAAAGAAGTGTCAAATTTTTCCGGGATTTCACTATTGTTTTTCTCAGTATATAATGTAAGTTATTGTCTATAAAGGTCAAGCGCGTACACATTTCATTGTAGAGAAGTGATAAAATGATAGTTTTAAAGAAAGAGTGTCGGTGTTTAGTGTATATTTTGATTAAACAATGTATGGACGGACGGCCGGCACTTCCACCTTAACGTTATTTCTTGAAAGATTTGCTTACATCTCACTAGGCATGCGAATTGATGAGCGCAGAACCGATATCAATACAGTTGAATATCGTTCTCCCTTATCATTCCATGATATTTGGATTCGGCATATTTAGATCCTATATCCTCGTTTGTCACCTTATCCTATAAAAAAAGATAAATTTGTTGTCGTTAGTCGGTCGACGGAAACTGTAAAACAAACATAACTCTTGAACAAAACCAATGACCACGATATATCATGATAGTTCTTTGTTACTGATTAAAGCTTTTCACGTATATATGTTTTTACGTGGTAGAGCCAAGCTGCAGATTACTATGTGTGCAGCATATTATATTGGTCGGCTCGACCTGGGAAGGATCACCCTCGCATAGAATATCAGCGCGTAACAGCGGCTATGTTTCGTACGATGAAGACCAGAGACACTTTATGGCAACAAGGCATTCTACCTTCCTCCATCGGTATCTACATTTTTAATGTTAATCGAGTATAGATGTGTTTGTGGGCACCGCAGCATCTACTTACTATCAGGTGGATTGTGTGCTGGTATGTCATCCATACTTCTATAAATAGGTAAAAGTCTTAGAAAATTATTAAAATTCTATATAAAAAATTAAATGTTTAAAGAAATCCTAAATTTAAGACTAAATATAACCTTAATTTCCAGACTAATAACAGATACGAGTATGACACGCCGTGCTACGGCTCCGTGTCTTTACGTCGCGACACGCTCCTGGACTTCAAAGCGTCGGAGTTGGCGGAGCAGATGACGTTATTGGACGCGGCGTTGTTCGTCCGTATCACGACTGCCGAAGTGCTATCGTGGCCACGGGACCAGTCAGAGGAGAGCTCCCCCAATCTCACCAGATTCACTGAACACTTTAATAAAATGAGCTACTGGGCCCGCTCAAGAATCTTAGAACAAGTTAGTAACAACATTAATTAACAGTCTATAGTACTTCAGAATAAATATTGTATATCGACTTTAGCTTCATATTGCCGAATATGACCGACAACTTCGGGACGGTATATAATTTAGAACTGCTCTTACCAAATAGTTATAGCGAGGTTGTCAGTATTGCGAGATACTTATAACCTAAGCACGATTTTAGATTAAAAATTATCGATAAATAAAAATAAATTTGAATTTTACTTTGAAACTTAAAAATCTTACATTTAAAACCATAACACGATGGCGGCTATATGACTCTATAAAACGGTGGCATATGGCCTCTCTTCATACTATCCTAGTTGTAACTGACTCATTTGCTGCGACGCTCGAACGGCTTGCAACTAATGTTGTTCTTAGAAATGATGTTGACATTTATGTGTTTGTGATAAAGTTGAGATTACGAGTGTTTTTCAGGACCAAAATACTTTGGTCGTTCGTTTTTGTAATGTACAGTGTGATTGTTTCCGATGAGTGCCGATGCACAATATTTATTCTGAAGTACCGTTATATACATAGAATACTATAATTACATACATAATAGAACGGGGAAGTGGGCGCAGCTCGTGTAGCCACTAAAATGTCACTAACACGTCAATTCACACGTATAAATGTCAACACGAGATGTGTTTTGACGTTACAATCGTTTCCATATTTCGCAATAAAATTATTTATAAAATGCCAAATTGCACTCTATTTACAAATAAATATGTATTAAAATCTGTCTGTCAACATAGCGAATCGGGTTTGTAGTAGTGATAATACGACGTAATTTCTTGTATGTGTGCTCCCGGCGACCCCTATCCTCGTACAAAATAAGGTTAACAGTCATTCTATTGTGTATTATAGTATTCTATGGTTATATAAGTAGGCTCCGTGGCGCAGTGGTTTAGCTTAACATTTGTATAGCTTATAAATAATTTCTCCGCATCTGGATGATCTTTCTTCTGCAATTTATGTGTGTAAACTATCCACGAATGCTTTTTTCAATTACATTTAGTTAAAATAAAGTTAATTTGCTAAATACCATGTGGACTTCAAAATAATATTATCTGTATTAAATATCTTAAAGAGCACCGCTTCATGTGGTGTTCAGAGATAATCTTGAGGTTAAATTTGAATTCAACACACAATTTGTGTGACATAATGTGATGTAAACTTGAATTTGACTTTGTGGAGTTGAAATTCAAGATTTTCTCTGGATACTGGCCATAGTCTCATCTAACGCGAACACCGCAATAACTCTCACAATGACAATCATAATGTTTATTGTTAACATATCATAACATATTTGCATCAAACGTGACGCTATAACTCTTTTACAGGAAGAAGCTAGAGAGCGAGAGAAGTACGCAAGCAAATTTCTCAAAGTGATGAAGGCCTTGCGGAAGATGAATAACTTCAATTCGTACCTAGCTCTGGTGTCCGCTTTAGACTCCCCTCCGGTGCGACGGCTGGGCTGGCCACGCACCATTGTCGATACGTTACACGATCATTGTGCTCTCATCGACTCCTCAAAGTCCTTCAGCGCGTACAGAAATGCACTTGCTGAGACTCAGCCGCCTTGTATACCTTATATGTAAGTACCTGAAGCGAAATTCTGACTCAGTGTTTTTGAATATTTTTCTTTCAATAAGATTTACCAAAAATAATATGTTATATCAAAATACAAATATTTAATTATATTTAAGTACATTATTTTAATTGATTATTTGCAGTGGTCTAGTCCTACAAGATCTGACTTTTGTTCACATCGGTAACCCTGATCTATTGCCTGATGGTAGTATTAATTTCACCAAAAGATGGCAGCAGTATCAAGTTATGGAGAGTATGAAGAGGTTTCACAAAGAGTGCGTAATTTTTTTTATTATTAAAATATATTCATCAAGTAATGATTGAAATGAAAATTTATATTTTTAAATAATATCTAGAATTATAAATTTAAAAGAAAATTTTCGTTTATATCGTGTGAATTGGCTCAGTTAATGTAACAGTTGTAGCACGAATGGGTCGGCTCGACCGGGGAAGGACCACGCTCTCACAGAATACCAGCGTGAAATAGTAGCTTAATGCTGCTGTATTTCGTATGGTGAGTGTAGAGAACCGGAGACCCTTTTTACTGGAAACGAGGCATTCCATCTAAGTCCTCACGGGTGACAACGCATCTGCATTTTGATTTTTAATGGAGGATAGATGTAGATGTCTATGGGCCGCAGCAACCACTTACCATCAGGTGGACTGTGTGCTCGTTTGTCACCTTATTCTATAAAAAAAAAAAATGTAAATTTGTATTAAGATTTGCTGGAGTTCTAAAATTTATATGGCTTTGGTGACTCACACGTGGTAAAGCCACGCTATATCTACTATATGGTTGTAGTACGAATGGGTCGGCTCGATCCGGGAAAGCACCACGCTTTCATAGAAAATCACAGCATTTACTTAACGTCAGGTGGACTATGTGCCCTATTGTCATCACTTCCCTCTTTTTCTACAAAAATGAGGTGACAACATTATAAGGTATGAATGAATTTGCCTAACTACTTTCTCAATTCATATACTATAGATAAAATTATGTGATATTCAAAAACTGTGATATCGTGATATTGAACAAGTGAAGTTTTTACAACAAACAAGAAAGTGACTTAGTAAAAACGCGGTAAAAAGGGCACTAGATATCCTAAAGCTGTGATAAATGATATCCATGATAGTTTTATGGGCAACAGCAGACAGTACAAGTTCAAGAAGAACGAGCGCATCCAAGCAATGTTCAACGGGTTCGACGACGTTCTGAGCGAGGAGGCGATGTGGCAGGTGTCGGAGAGCATCAAGCCGCGCGGCGGCCGCTCGCGCAACGCGTCCGCGCCCTCCCCGCCCGCGCCCGCCCCTGCGCACGCGCCAGCGCCCGCGCATGCGCAGACCGCTGCATGAGCGCTCCCGCCTTACGAGGTTCGTCGTCTTCCTTTGCTGTTTCTAAAATAAATTTTGTAAATATTTTATGATTTTTTTGGAAATTTGGAATTCATTGGAAAATTATTTTTAAAAAAAAGTTCCGCTTCGTTTCTTGCTAGTTTTTCGTAGGATAGAGGTTTTTTTTCGAACTAGTGGTAAAGTAAAACATGATTAAGAATTACAACATGTACCTAATCTATATTGAATAAAAAAAATGTCTATTTTTTTGTATGTATTTCGTCTAGCAAATGCCTTCATTTGAAAGTTGTAATATATCCGGCCTATATGAATTCATAAAAGTTAAACATTACAGCCAACTAGCTTGCCAAGCAGACGTAGTCCTACCCTTTTCGACGACCCTTTGTCATGTTTTATTAAAAATCCTTAAATTAGCAAAAAAAATTGTGGGTCACTTATGGGCAAAAAACCATCTCTCAAGTTGGACCAAACTGCACACGGTGTGAAAACTTGATTAAAATTGGTTAAGTACTTTAGGAGTCCATCGCGGACAAACAACGTGACACGTAATTTATATATCGCCTCTTTACAAGAACAACGTGACATCTCATAAAAACGTATTTTTTTTATTATTTGATATTCAAAACCGCGATGTCGAATTTTATTATCTACAAAAACGCGGCATTTTAAAAGTGAATGTTCGAGGAGCTATTAGTGAAAGAGACGACACGACCGTGGCAAATGGTGTTATCACGTTGTCTCTTTCGGTGTGGCGCACGACTTCGACAACGCGACGCGTTAGTTTGCCCCGCACGCGAAACGAGTGAAGTGCTCCTGCTTTTCACAAAAAACGTGGCATCACGAGTATACCACGTTTTTAGTGCAAAGGTATGTTTCTTGTTGTTATTTACTTTAACTTGAATAACGTGATAGTACTAATTTAACTCGTTTTTGTTGTAAAACTCGTGAGTATTTAGAATGAGATAATGAATATTGACACATTATTGATGAAAAAGTTACAAGTTTTCTTTGTGATATCTTTGAATGTAACCATGTTGTTGATGAATCGTTTTCAAATACTATGGGTTATTTTATTTTACATCATTATTTTTGAAAACCTTTAAGTTTGGGTTTATATTATGCTAAAATGTTACATTATACATGCTAAAATAAAGTAACTTTTACGAATTTGTTTTTCAGATGGCATCACGATCTAGGATGTTAGTTCAATTAGCTACAGGTGTTAAAAATAATTTAAGTGTACAACTAAGTCATTCAAACTCTCAGATAGATATTTTAACACAAGACGAGAATGAAAATGCCAAAAGTTCGACCCATGCATTGCAGACATCAAAAGAAGGTATTTTATTACTTGTACTGATATTTTTTTTTAGTTATGTTCCTATAATTTCATTATTTAAATTCTCTTTGTAGACAAAGACATCGCAGTAAATTCCATCCGACCTCGTAGTAATTTGACTAGTATCAGCGATTTCTCCAGTTCTAGCAGTTCTTCAAGCAGTGGCCCATCTATGTATCAAGGTAAGTTAATTTATATCCCACTAGTCTCACAAAATTCGAGGGTAATTGATAAAGTCAATACCACACCACTACACTTCAAGAAATTGATTACATTTATAACGTTTCAGACAGCGACGACTCGGTAAAGGATCCTGATTATGAAGCCCAACCAACAAAACATGCTGAGTATTCTTCTGATACTGCCGAGGAACAAAATATCACTACCAACTATACAAATATTTCGGATGATCATAATTTGCTAACGTCTAATATGGTTTCAATAAACATTGAAAACTACGAGGAACCACTTTCGTCTACAAACGAACATGCTATAGTATTCAACGATCCTGGTGTCATAGAGAACAGTGAACTTTCTGCGATTGAAAACGTAAGCAATGAAAATGCTGCAAGTCCAATAGTGTATAATTCTAGTCCAACTAAAACTGGTAAAAAAAAGAAGACTAAATGAAGCAAACTGGAAAGGTAATGTAGCTAAACGACTAAGAAATAGTGGTAAGCCTTATCAATCTACCAAATCAAAAAGAAACATGCCAAGTCGTGAATTGAAACCTTCTTGTAAAGATAAATGTAAATTTAAATGTGGGTCTAAATTTACAGAGGAGCAAAGACAGACAATTTTAAATGACTATTGGAGCTTAGGTGCAATAGAAAAACAATGGACGTTTATTGCTAATAACGTAGACATAGTCATCCCAAAACAACGTTACGTTAAATTTGATTCGGATGGAAATGTAGCAACTATTAGAAACAACAACAACGCTTTCTTTTTGACTATTTCGGGTGAAAAAACAAGAGTTTGTAAATTGTTTTTCAAAAATACTTTGGGGATTAATAATCGACCCATAGAGACTGCTTTGAAAAAGAAAAATAGAAACACTAATATTTCTTCCATGAAAGATAACCGAGGTACTCATTCAATCCATTATGCAGTGGACGAAAGCATTAAAAATGGCATCAAATTGTTTATTGAGTCTGTACCAAAGATTGAGTCACATTATATCCGGGCTAACTCAAAACGAAATTATATTGATGATTGTAAAGCTGTCACAGATCTTCATAGAGATTATGTGGAATAATGCAAATCCCAAAACGTCCCATATGGAACCTATATTACATTTTATCTTATTTTCACACAAGATTTTAACATTTCGTTTTTCACTCCTAAAAAAGGATTTATGCGATATATGCGAAGCCTATAAAAACATTACAGATGAAGAGAAAGAATCTAAGAAACAAGATTATGAATTACACCTTAAGGAAAAGAATTTGTCTCGTATTGAAAAAGAAAAAGATAAGAACAACAAAAATATTTTAGTAGCGGTCTATGATCTTCAAGCAGTGTTTCAATGCCCCAAAGGAGACGTCTCAGTTTTTTACTACAAGTCAAAACTAAATGTACTTAATTTAACAATTTATAACTTACAAAATAATTCAGTTGAGAGTTATGTATGGGATGAGTCTAACGCAAATAGAGGTGTCAACGAAATAGCTACCTGTGTTTACAAATACCTGGAGAAAATTTCCGCAACGGCTGAAGACCTCTATGTAGTCTTTTATTCGGACAATTGTGCCGGACAGCAAAAAAAAAAGTTTATGATCTCAATGTACACTTACACAGTCAAAACTCTGCCAAATCTCAGTTCAAATAATCAATTAAATCAATTACACACAAATACCTCGTTAAAGGACATACGCAGAACGAGGGCGATTCAGTTCACCCTCAAATAGAGAGAGAAGTTAAAAGGCAACTGAGATCAGGACCAATGTATACTCCTGACGCTTTTATCGGGGCAATAAAGGCGGCACGGAAAAAAAGCGAGCCATTTCATGTCAATGAAATGTGTTTCGATGATTTCTTTGATTGGAAAAGTATATGCAATCAAATGAACTTTGCGATAATGAAAGATGAAGACAATAATACTGTGAAACTGGCTGGACTCAAGATGATTAAAGTTCAAAGTTCTGATCCCGATGCCATATTTTTCAAAGAATCATACGCTGACGAATTATTCAAGAAAGCTATAGGTGGTGAAAAAAAAATAGAAATCGTAATAGCCAAAGCATTCATTTAGATTTGCAAAAGGCCTATCTTCAAAAACCTGGACTAGCAGAGAGAGAAAAAGCTGATCTCATGGATTTGGTCAATAAAAACCTCATTCCTAGATACCACAAGCCATTTTACGGATCGTTGTAATAAGACTGATTAAGTACAAAGATTTTTTTGAATTGTATTTTTTAGAAATATTTAATTGCTACATTTAAAATGATAGTATTTTTTATTAGTATTAAGAGAATTTGTGATTCTATGTTTATGAAGGGTGACAGCAATGTTCCTATTTTGAATTTCTAAGTACTATAAAACTGTGTGCCATAATTGTGTGAGAAGACGTTAATTACTGTAACTTTAAGTACAGTTAACTTTTTTATTTTTTTATTTGTATGAAAGTAATTTTTTTAGTTACCTTATAATTTTAATTAAAGCGAGTACTAAGTACTATGTGATTGATTGATATCTTATTGATTATTGTGCCTTAAACTAATTTCATGGTGTAAGTAAGCCATTGTTTTCGTAAATTTGTATTTTTTAAATACAAGATCTTTATTTTGATACTGTGTTTTATTTAACTTATCACACAGCCTTACACCTAAATTTAACATTTTCAATGTGATATATCAATATGTTACAAGCATTTTGTGATAAATTTTCATCAAAAACGTGACATGTTTGTCTGTGTTTTTTTAAATCAGTTTTTTTACTTATTTCTTATTGCACTGAGTTTTTTTGCTTATTTTCAGAAAGCACATTAATTACCGCAATAATTTAATTGTTTTCCGATAGAAAAATAATCAATATTTTAGAAGTTATCAACGCTTAAATGTTTAAAATTGCTCTCCTGTAAAGTTGTGGTTTAAAAAATATCACGTTGTTCTTGTAAAGAGGCGATATGTATTACAGCCAATATACACAGGCTCACCTTAGGGTGGGTAATTACTACCTACTGCGCACCAAATTCGAAAAAGGAAGTAAATGTATAGACTTCTTTTTAAATATTATTGCTGTGTATGGAACTATTTTACTGGTTTATCAACATCATGAATAGGTTGTCTCGACCGTAGAAGGACTACACTCACAAAATACCACAGTAAAATATCAGCTTAATGCTGCTGAGTTATATATGATGAGTATAGAGTACTAGAAACCTTTTTGCTAGAGTTGGGTCGATTAGCTGATCGATTAGGCGGATCGGCGGATTAGTCGGCGATTAATCGGCTTTTTATTTTATTAATTTCAATAAAGGTTTTTCGTGATTTTCTGCGTGGTAAGTGCGGCTACATTGATATGTGTAAGGCTTTAAATTAAAGAATAAAAAGAAAAGAAGAATAGTTTCCCTCCTATGCGTAACATCACGTCAGATTTATATGTAGGTAAATCAAATAATAAATAAAATAAGTAGGTTTATACATAAATTTTATTGAAA